TCCAGTCTCAAAATGCTCCAGTCGCAAAATGCTCCAGTCGCAAAATGCTCCAGTCTCAAAATGCTCCAGTCTCAAAATGCTCCAGTCGCAAAATGCTCCAGTCGCAAAATGCTCCAGTCGCAAAATGCTCCAGTCGCAAAATGCTCCAGTCGCAAAATGCTCCAGTCTCAAAATGCTCCAATCCCAAAATGCTCCAATCCCAAAATGCTCCAGTCGCAAAATGCTCAAAATGCTCCAATCTCAAAATGCTCCAGTCTCAAAATGCTCCAATCCCAAAATGCTCCAGTCTCAAAATGCTCCAGTCTCAAAATGCTCCTGTCTCAAAATGCTCCAGTCTCAAAATGCTCCAGTCTCAAAATGCTCCAGTTTCAAAATGCTCCGGTCTCAAAATGCTCCAGTCGCAAAATGCTCCAGTCTCAAAATGCTCCAGTCTCAAAATGCTCCAGTCGCAAAATGCTCCAGTCTCAAAATGCTCCAATCTCAAAATGCTCCAGTCTCAAAATGCTCCAGTCTCAAAATGCTCCAATCCCAAAATGCTCCAGTCTCAAAATGCTCCAGTCTCAAAATGCTCCAGTCTCAAAATGCTCCAGTCTCAAAATGCTCCAGTCTCAAAATGCTCCAGTCTCAAAATGCTCCAGTCTCAAAATGCTCCAGTCTCAAAATGCTCCAGTCGCAAAATGCTCCAGTCGCAAAATGCTCCAGTCGCAAAATGCTCCAGTCGCAAAATGCTCCAGTCTCAAAATGCTCCAGTCTCAAAATGCTCCAGTCGCAAAATGCTCCAGTCTCAAAATGCTCCATTGGCAAAATGCTCCAGTTTCAAAATGCTCCGGTCTCAAAATGCTCCAGTCTCAAAATGCTCCAGTCTCAAAATGCTCCAGTCGCAAAATGCTCCAATCTCAAAATGCTCCAGTCTCAAAATGCTCCAATCCCAAAATGCTCCAGTCTCAAAATGCTCCAGTCTCAAAATGCTCCAATCCCAAAATGCTCCAGTCTCAAAATGCTCCAGTCTCAAAATGCTCCAATCCCAAAAATGCTCCAGTCTCAAAATGCTCCAATCCCAAAATTCTCCAGTCTCAAAATGCTCCAGTCTCAAAATGCTCCAGTCGCAAAATGCTCCAGTCTCAAAATGCTCCATTGGCAAAATGCTCCAGTTTCAAAATGCTCCGGTCTCAAAATGCTCCAGTCTCAAAATGCTCCAGTCTCAAAATGCTCCAGTCGCAAAATGCTCCAATCTCAAAATGCTCCAGTCTCAAAATGCTCCAATCCCAAAATGCTCCAGTCTCAAAATGCTCCAGTCTCAAAATGCTCCAATCCCAAAATGCTCCAGTCTCAAAAAGCTCCAGTCTCAAAATGCTCCAATCCCAAAAATGCTCCAGTCTCAAAATGCTCCAATCCCAAAATGCTCCAGTCTCAAAATGCTCCAGTCTCAAAATGCTCCAATCCCAAAATGCTCCAGTCTCAAAATGCTCCAGTCTCAAAATGCTCCAATCCCAAAAATGCTCCAGTCTCAAAATGCTCCAGTCGCAAAATGCTCCAGTCTCAAAATGCTCCAGTCTCAAAATGCTCCAGTCTCAAAATGCTCCAGTCTCAAAATGCTCCAGTCTCAAAATGCTCCAGTCGCAAAATGCTCCAGTCGCAAAATGCTCCAGTCTCAAAATGCTCCAGTCTCAAAATGCTCCAGTCGCAAAATGCTCCAGTCGTAAAATGCTCCAGTCGCAAAATGCTCCAGTCGCAAAATGCTCCAGTCTCAAAATGCTCCAATCCCAAAATGCTCCAATCCCAAAATGCTCCAGTCGCAAAATGCTCAAAATGCTCCAATCTCAAAATGCTCCAGTCTCAAAATGCTCCAATCCCAAAATGCTCCAGTCTCAAAATGCTCCAGTCTCAAAATGCTCCTGTCTCAAAATGCTCCAGTCTCAAAATGCTCCAGTCTCAAAATGCTCCAGTTTCAAAATGCTCCGGTCTCAAAATGCTCCAGTCGCAAAATGCTCCAGTCTCAAAATGCTCCAGTCTCAAAATGCTCCAGTCGCAAAATGCTCCAGTCTCAAAATGCTCCAATCTCAAAATGCTCCAGTCTCAAAATGCTCCAGTCTCAAAATGCTCCAATCCCAAAATGCTCCAGTCTCAAAATGCTCCAGTCTCAAAATGCTCCAGTCTCAAAATGCTCCAGTCTCAAAATGCTCCAGTCTCAAAATGCTCCAGTCTCAAAATGCTCCAGTCTCAAAATGCTCCAGTCTCAAAATGCTCCAGTCTCAAAATGCTCCAGTCGCAAAATGCTCCAGTCGCAAAATGCTCCAATCGCAAAATGCTCCAGTCTCAAAATGCTCCAGTCTCAAAATGCTTCAGTCGCAAAATGCTTCAGTCGCAAAATGCTCCAGTCGCAAAATGCTCCAGTCGCAAAATGCTCCAGTCTCAGAATGCTCCAGTCTCAAAATGCTCCAGTCTCAAAATGCTCCAGTCTCAAAATGCTCCAGTCGCAAAATGCCCCAGTCTCAAAATGCTCCAGTCTCAGAATGCTCCAGTCTCAAAATGCTCCAGTCTCAAAATGCTCCAGTCGCAAAATGCTCCAGTCTCAAAATGCTCCAGTCTCAAAATGCTCCAGTCGCAAAATGCTCCAGTCTCAAAATGCTCCATTGGCAAAATGCTCCAGTTTCAAAATGCTCCGGTCTCAAAATGCTCCAGTCTCAAAATGCTCCAGTCGCAAAATGCTCCAATCTCAAAATGCTCCAGTCTCAAAATGCTCCAATCCCAAAATGCTCCAGTCACAAAATGCTCCAGTCTCAAAATGCTCCAATCCCAAAATGCTCCAGTCTCAAAATGCTCCAGTCTCAAAATGCTTCAATCCCAAAAATGCTCCAGTCTCAAAATGCTCCAGTCGCAAAATGCTCCAGTCTCAAAATGCTCCAGTCTCAAAATGCTCCAGTCTCAAAATGCTCCAGTCTCAAAATGCTCCAGTCGCAAAATGCTCCAGTCGCAAAATGCTCCAGTCTCAAAATGCTCCAGTCTCAAAATGCTCCAGTCGCAAAATGCTCCAGTCGCAAAATGCTCCAGTCTCAAAATGCTCCAGTCTCAAAATGCTCCAGTCTCAAGATGCTCCAGTCTCAAAATGCTCCAGTCTCAAAATGCTCCAGTCGCAAAATGCTCCAGTCGCAAAATGCTCCAGTCTCAAAATGCTCCAGTCTCAAAATGCTCCAGTCGCAAAATGCTCCAGTCGCAAAATGCTCCAGTCGCAAAATGCTCCAGTCTCAAAATGCTCCAATCCCAAAATGCTCCAATCCCAAAATGCTCCAGTCGCAAAATGCTCAAAATGCTCCAATCTCAAAATGCTCCAGTCTCAAAATGCTCCAATCCCAAAATGCTCCAGTCTCAAAATGCTCCAGTCTCAAAATGCTCCAATCCCGAAATGCTCCAATCCCAAAATGCTCCAGTCTCAAAATGCTCCAGTCTCAAAATGCTCCAGTCTCAAAATGCTCCAGTCTCAAAATGCTCCTGTCTCAAAATGCTCCAGTCTCAAAATGCTCCAGTCTCAAAATGCTCCAGTCGCAAAATGCTCCAGTCTCAAAATGCTCCATTGGCAAAATGCTCCACTCACAAAATGCTCCAATCGCAAAATGCTCCAGTATGAGCAAGTAAAATGAGCAAGTAATATGAGCATGTAACAAAATGAGCAAGTAAAATGAGCATGGAACAAAATGAGTAAGTAAAATGAGCATGTAACAAAATGGCAAGTAAAATGAGCATGTAACAAAATAAGCAAGTAAAATGAGCATGTAACAAAATGAGCAAGTAAAATAAGCATGTAACAAAATGAGCAAGTAATGTGAGCAAAATGCTCCAATTGCAAATGCTCCAATTGTAAATGCTCCAACTGTAAAGTGATCCAATTGTAAATGCTCTAATTTTAAAATGGTCATTCGTATTATGCTATGCCTACATCCATATAATAACTTTTTTTAATAAACGTGTTACGTCTGGACAGTGTGACCGCGTGAGAAATGCCATAATTGAAAAGAGTAAATTCTTGTCTTGAAAACAGTGGGTTTTACTTTCCCAAAATTAATTAACAAAATAGCTCAAACCGAGATACCGTGCAAGTTGGCAAAACCTCTGTGAGAGCTGTATTAAATAACTAAAGTTATCATAGCTGTCATGGCTGCGAGGGGTCTTGTTGGCGTGGTCAGCGGGGAACGGCAAATTTTATAATTTGACCACATTAATTTTCTCAAAAACTGTGGGTTTAATTTTCACGAAAAACCCGATTTTTCAAATACATTTTGAAAACACTGGTAGACGTTGGATTTGGCCGCAACCTATATATATCGATAGATGTTTTTATTCTAAAACATTTTGCATCAAACATTTTGCGATCCGGCCGCCAAATATCGAGGAAGTCTAAAAACAACAAGAGAGAACGCTATAGTCGGGTGCCCCGACTATCAGATACCCGTTACTCAGCTAAAGGAAGTGCGAAGGAGGTGGAGATAAAAACTTTGATCCGCCGTAACTTTTTAACGAATGGTCCGGTTTAAAAAATTTCTTCTACATTTCGATAGGTATTGATAAACACAATAAAACTGCATTTTTACTTTTCCGAAATATTGAAATTTTTAAAATCGTATATAAGCGATTGTGGGCGTTAGAGGGGGCGTGGCACCCTTTTGAAACAAACTTGCGCTGCGTAGGAACTCCTAGAATCTGCATGCAAAATGTCAATCCTGTAGTTTATAGTTTCCGAGATCTCAGCGTTCATACAGACAGACAGACGGACAGACGGACATGGCTAGATCGACTCGGCTAGTGATCCTGATCAAGAATATATATAGTTTATAGGGTCGGAAACGCTTCCTTCTACCTGTTACATACTTTTGCAAGAATCTAGTATAAAAATAGCCCCAGTGCCGCAAATTCCACCGTTCCACTTTCATGGCTAACTCATCGACGCACACTTAACGTACATTTTTGATTTTTGGTATTTCTGTTTTTTGTATATACGGCCGCACTGCACAAAAAAGCGGGATTTTTCGCTTTAAATAAAAACGATTGATGCTGGTTCTATAAATTGCTGGATTCGAAAAATGCCGAGAAAAAGTGGCGCAAGCCGCAAGGTGGACGTGCCCAAGCCGACGCTGGGTGACACGGACGCGGAGAGCGACGACGACACGGCCTTCCGATCGCCGGAACCCGAGGACGGCACCGACTACGGCTTGGAGTTCACCACCAGCCGGCTGACTCTGCAGGACGCCTCCAATCGCCGCTGCTCGACGCTACGCAAGGACGCCAGAAGTGGACGGGCATTGGAGGCAGCGGATAGAACAGCCTCCAGCGAAGAGGAGGATCAGGAGAATCGTCTGCCAGCAACCAGATCGCCGCGACGGATGACCAGCCAGCAGGAGAGGCGTCCAACTGCCAGCCAAGCATCTGGCTCAGGACCAGCTGCTCCTCAGGATCGTAGGCGGCCACGCAAGATGGCCAATCCCATGAGCAGAGCCCGGCGAATGGATCGCGAGATCCAACATCTGCAGAAACATCCCGGCACGCTTATACCCAAGCTGCCGTTCTCGCGCTTGGTTCGCGAATGTATCATGAAGTACAGCGACGGAGCACCGTTGAAGATCACCGAGGGCGCCTTCAACGCCCTGCAGGTGTCCAGCGAGATGTACGTGACGCAGCGTCTGGCCGACTCCTACATGCTGACCAAGCACCGCAATCGCGTCACGCTGGAGGTGCGCGACATGGCTCTGATGGCTTTGATCTGCGACCGGGGTCACAACTAGTCCAATATCTTAGCATTAACATTAAGTATTTCCTTTGTAATCCCTTCAAAACATTATTACAAATACCACCAGATGAATACCTGGCTTAGCGTTGTGTTACTTTTGTTTTTAGCCTTAACCTTAAGTATTTTCCAAGTAATCCGTTACACAAATAAATAAATAGCTTTGTTTTTATTTTTAGCAATTCGTTTTATTTCTAGTTCTTGCTGTTTGTTTCGTCTCCATTTTGTTGTACAACATAAAACATAATCCATAATAGTTTAACTATAAAGTTGCCGGCTAGCGCCGTGCGAGCTACAAATAATATAGGTTTTTAGCTAGGATTAGGATGCATAAGATGTAGTCACGCGAAACGCACTAAAATTATGGGCCTAGTCAGGATAGGTAGTGCGCTTTTTGAAATGAGTCACCATTTAGAATGTCGCGGCCCGTCGAACGACCTCGATGAGTAGAGAACTAAGCACTTAAACGAGTAACATGAATAGATATACTGGCTGAAAACTCAACTGAAAACTTGTCTTTCGTGGGATGGATCGATCGCCAATGGGTGCATCAGAGGACTTAAACGTAAATTGAGCTTTCATCGAGCTATTGTATCTTTAGGCCTATTCTGCTTTCTTTTTGGCATTTGCACAAGTGTGATTTAGCACAGTAAAAATACTGCAATCTAGATTTATTACAACTTACACAATCATACAAAATATATTTATATTTATATATTTAGCCATATAATTGATATCGGAGACTGCAACAGTTCTTTCTCCCAGCAGCCCTAGCCACCTCGCCTTCTTAGCTACAACATCGTGTTGTAAACTATAATATCCTAAAATGTAGGAGCAACATTTTGCTTCGCCACTTTACTAACATTTCTATCTCATTTGTTTAGTTTTGTTTTGTTTTGTTTCATTTCGTTTGGTTGTGTTTCTCCTGTTTTAGCTTACACATTGACGGTGAATTTTGTTGGGTTGTGTTAACGGGTTTGTATTACTTGCGCTCCGCCTGCTCCTACGAGTATCCCTCCGATCTAACGACGTTAATTTGTAAAAGAGAACTAATTAATGTAGCGGTAACCGAAACCTAGTGCGGTTTGCTCTTCGACTTTCGATGCGCGGTGCCGCCGTTCTTGTCCGCGCTGCCGCCAATGTTGCTCTGACTGCTCACCGAGGCGGTAGCCGGATGCGGAGCGGCGCCCTTGGGCGTGTACGGTATCCGGAAGAGATCGATGCGCAGGTGCTGACAGATCTCCAGGCAAACTTGGGCGCAGTAGCGCAGCAGATCCTGGGTGCCCCAGATGAGCGTGAACCACAGCAGCCAGATCTCCGGCACGATGCAGTTGAAGTACTGGTTGAGGAACAGCAGCGCGGGGCCGAGCAGCGACCAGTCCAGGTACTCCATCTCCGATTTGGTCATGTGGGCAATCTGGGGAGTATTAGACGATTAAATAAAATCAAATATTTTGAGTTTTTAATACGATCCTAAAGGTTATTTAAATGCTTGCACAACTGATTTATATTTTGGACATTTTGGACTAGGATTATTTTAGGTGAAATCTTTTTTTAATTATGATTATTAATCCACCTTTCATACGTTAAAAACGATATAATACATTTTAACTAAATTTTCTTTTTGTAATTATGCCTTAATAAATATTTTTTTTAAATAGTTTAACAGAGTTAAATCGGTATCTAAAATAGCGATTTCTCATATAAATCCGCATGTCTAATTATTATTTTATCGACCGTCTGGTAAATTTAAAGCGGGTAATAAATCTTTGATTTCCATACGATTTTTAGGTTTTAGCCTTACTTTTTTTTAAATACTTGACAAACGGACGAGAAATGCGTATCTGATAGTGTTCCCTGTTTTTAGCTTCCTTTTAGAAGTTTTAAGATGATTTAATTAAATTTTTATATATACAAAAGATTTATCAATCAATAAATAATTCATTTTTTTTATAATATCACTAGGAAAACATTAAGTCTTGACGGATTCATGGAATGCCAGATGCATGGTGATCCAAACAAACTTAACCCCTATACTTACCACCAACTTGTTGGTGACCTTGGCGGCCACCATGCCGAAGGCCATGATGTACACCGAGGCGTGTTCGGTGAAGATATTCTGCGGCGACTTCTGGGCGATCATTAGGGCGGGTAGCACCACCAGCGTGAGCGGGATGCTGGGCGATAGCACACTGGTGCCCTGCAGGAGTACGGAAAGCATTCAATTAGTGGGGATCTTGGGGAACTTGTTGCACGCTTGCAAAGTGTCACCGCTGGCGGCGTTGTGTTTATTGGACTTTAAACGACTTGTTAGTTAAATGTGAATTACGGCACATTTTGCAAGGGTCACAACAATTTGAGAGTGCACAAACAAAAGTGAACAAAAATTCTTTTGGCTTTTGGTGTTTAGGGTTCAGCAATTTCCCCTCCAGAAATTGAATGAAAAAAACGCAACGCTCGAGGGGAAATTGCGCTTACGGATTTGTTTTTTATTACATGTTTTATTTACATGGTCTAGCGCTATTGGGCGGGTGTGTGGGTGGGTGGGTGTTGGATTGGTGGGTTTTTGTGGGTTTAAAATGCACATATGTCAGTAGTAGTTTTATACGAAGCCAATTTACCAAACGAAAGCACAATGCCAACCAAAAACAAACGACATGCCATGCCAAACTGTCACCAAAATAAGAACTACTAGCTAAACAAATAATTATACTAGGTATCGACGAACATTGGACGTGCACTTGGATCGATAAAGATAGCATTACTCAGGGGTATGTAAGTAGGTGGTAGGTAACCGAAGCCGATTTACAGTGCGTTTAAACCACATAAGACATGGGATACGGATACGGGTACCACACGAGATATGTACAAATGTTCTTCCAAACGCACTGCACACCAGGACGAGAACGAGGACGAGACTATCTCGGTGGGAGTTCTGCGAGATCAAGTTAAACGTAGTATTCTTACAGCAACCGATGATCCGTTCTTGCCGCAACCCTCGGTCAAAATGCACTTCGAGTAGCGTAGTGCTAGGATCAAATCTACGCCGCAGGCCACATAAATTGGCAGAAATCGGGTTTCGCAGTCGAAGTACGGTAGCTGCCAATTTCAAGGTTTAGGGGGGAATTGGGGTTTCGGGTTCGTTTTGGTTTTGTTTTGTCAAACGATATTGATTGATTGCGTGCGGGAGAAAAGAACGGCGCGCATTAAAATTTCATTTGTAATTACGGAACACATGTGCTTTTTCCAGAAGTCTTTCGGTAACTGAAGAGTGACTTAAAAAATTAAATATTAATTTGCTACAAGCTCCAAAGTCACCAAGGTTGATTCAATTTATACTTAGGCTAAAAACTTAAAATAACAAATAACAAACAATGTCATTCGATTAGTAAATAAATATATAGTAATACCACTTAAAAAGTAATTAAACCCAAGCAGCAGCATGCTTAAAATGGCATTCAGTAATATGTCGTATTAGTCGATATGGGGAGTCGGAAATTATAGTGTTAGAGCCCAAACCAAATTCCAGAGCCCTCCACCGAACGAGCCGAAACTGCAAGCCATTTCCAAGCCCAAAGTCAAAGGAAAATGCAAAACGGATATTAGATATTAGTAGAGAACCCAAAAAGCAGAAACAAGGATTAGATAAAGATGTTATGGCTGGGGCAACGGATTAATTAATGAACCGCTTTCAAGTTAGTCTGTTTAGTTTGTTTCTTTTGTTTTTTTTACTGGTTTTATAATAGTTTGTCGCCTCGTTATTGCGAGAGGAGGGTGCAATGCTTACAGCAACTGAGGAGCCGTTTTTGCCACTGCCGCCTTGAGTAAACATTTTTAGGAAATTGATTATATTCAAGGTATAACCGAATGTGATAAATATTAATATTGTATAATTCCATGAAAGGCCCACGATTGGTATCTAGTAAAGATGAAAGATTGCAAGAAAACAATAAAATTTAGATTTTTCGACTACATTCAGGGGATGGGGAAAATTTGTTGGTAAAATGTTTGGATCGGTTAAAGTGATTGTGGAGTGTTAACAGTCGCTCGCAAACTGTGAATACCCCGCAACCCTCGCTTACAATCTATACTTAAGGGGAATACATAAGAAATAGCGTAGATTTTAAGATTAATTTTGGGTTAAATAGGTAATTCCAAAACCGGAAGACATTAAAGACATAAAGATTAAATAGAAGGACCAAAAATGTCAACTGGACAATTGGACAGGGCAAATACATAGATCAATTTTAAGGATAACTAAGAATTAACTTAAATTTTGCATTCGGCAGCCTCAAATAGTTATTGTGTGTAGTAGGTATGTGTGTTTATTTTTAGGCATGCTCTCTTTTTGCTTCCGAAAATTTTATGTTTGAGTGGTTTTTTAATAGCAACAAAGCAGAGATTATTATTTTTGCAGCAGCTGCGCCGTTTAAACCAAAGACACATGAACAAGAATCAACAACGGCACAGATTAAATAGGCAAGCAATTGGGGGTTAAAGAGTGGGATAGAGGGGTTAAGGGTTATCCTCACGCCACGCACCTTCCTCGAAACTCAGCTGAGCTAGTCAGCAAATAGAAAGCTAGGTGAAAACTGAAAATCTCTGTTTTAATTTATATCAATCCTTTTTCTTATTGAGGAGCCAAAATATTTTTTGTTTTGTGTGTTTTTGTTGTTGTGGTAGTAGTGTTTTGTGTTCGTGTGTGTGTTTTGTGTGTGTGTTAAGGACTTACAGCAACTGTCGAGCCATTTTTGCCAACACCACCGGCTTTAATGACGGAAAATACATAAGTTAGGGAAAGCAGACCGCACACAATGGTTGTCATTGCCGGCCCATACCAAAGCTCTATACTGCCAATGCCGATCTGAGTGTTATATGTGGGTGTGGTGTCGATTGGTTAAGTGTTTTGATCGCGACAGGCATTGGATTTCGGCAGGTTTGTTTAGAGAGCGCGCGCAGTACGCATTAAGTACATAGAAGTAGAAGGTATTAGACATAACAATTACTGGTCGTGGTTACATTTTAATTAGAAACTATACAGAACCTATCCTGACTTCAAAAACCCTGACAGCTTTCGTGGTTTTGCATTCATGCTGAAAATAAATTGGGAACTTAACGGTTGGGTAGCTGAACTCAAAACTCAACTCGCACGCTAATCAAACTGAACAGAACTTAAGGCATCTGAGACGAGCTCAATCCGAAGCAGCCTAAGAAAAACTCGAGCTCTAAACTCTATGGTAAACGTAACGAAATAAAACTCTTAGAAATACGCTTAAATATCTAAATAAAATATAAGGGGGAATGCAAAGAACTTCCGGAAATAATGCTATAAATCGAAAAACCGGTGTTATTCGAGGGTCTTCAGTTAGGGTGCCCTCAGAACCTCTCATACCTTGGTCAGCCAGATCTCAGGACCCAGCACAGCCGACACCAGGTGAATGGCTATGATGGAGAACTGCGCCTCCGTCACATCAATTCGGCCGAAGCGCATCGTTCCGGACACATAGGTCTGCCAGTGGGCGCAGTAGAAGAGAGCTATAGCACAGAAGCACTGAAAGAGAAGTCCGGAATTTATTTCGCCCTGAATAATCTGAGTAATCCACTTACCTGGAAGAACAGCCAGTTGGGATAGTGTCCCAGTTGGCAGGAGATGCAGGCCGACAGGGCCACGAACACCGTGGATATGGAGTCACAGCCATGGTCGAAGAGCTCGCCCAGCGGCGAGGAGGTGTTCGTGCGACGCGCCTGCTTCCCGTCGATGGAATCCAGACTCTGGTAGATGAACAGGCCCAGGGCGCAGAGCACACAGGTCCAACGTGGCGGAGCCTCAACGCCATTTGGGCTATAACTGAACGGGGATATAGGAAATTAAAGAATTAATAAGTTGCCAATAATAAGAAAGGGGTCAAAAGCAAACAGTTACTGTTTCATTAAGAGGAATTAGCGGACTTGTGACCTTTGAAGCTATTTTCCCATTATATTCTTCATATTTTGTAATACTATTAAGCACAAATCTTTTGCACAATTTAAGCGAACGACCATGAATTTATTGATTATAAGTTGAGTAATCTGATTCATTGCAGTGTCAAGCAACTCGTTTTGTAATGAGTAAGAAAAAAGCTTAAGCAATAGAAAAAAAATAAAAAAAGGTCAGCAAACTGTAGATTTAAATGTAAACCCAGATCCAATAGTAAAACCTTTTAAATATTTAATTAATATTACAAATGTTAAGTGAATTAAGGTTGTCTTCGGGCAAATGACAACTGCTATGCGTAGAATTTCAAAGCGTTGCCAAGTCAATTAGCCGCTCCATTCCCCTTCCCCAAGAAAACAGACTGACGTCAGTGAGCATAAGATCGCCTGATGAGCAAAGTTCCCAAGCTGGGTTTCTTAATTATCACTCAGGTTAAGTATAAAATCACTACTTTGCTGCTGCCACTTGAAAATGCCCGATAAGCGGACTGCTATCTCCTCCGTCATGTCGCCGAAATCAGCTGACTGCGCGGTTCCGGCTCGGAATTTTGGCACACTAGAACTACCAGCGGAACGAGTGGAACACCTGATTCCAGCTGAATCATCATGCTAAGATTGACACTACTTTATCGAGTCCCACTGACCTAGACAAGTTCAGCACTCGGCTAAATCCGCAAGCGGGCTGGCAACAGTTTGTTTTTTAGCAACCAGAATTATTAAAACAAATACAAATAGTGAAAACAAAAGTAGAATAATAATGGCTACAGTGCAAATAAAACCGGTCCGGTCTCTTGGCTAGGTTTTGTGAATGAACATATAGATCCTATAGCATGTATTTGGTCTATAAATAACAGAAACCGACACGTGAGCAGCTTTGAAGGTGATTCATCTGCAGGGGGGACACAAGTAAATGACTTTTCGGCCGCTTTGATTGACATGCCAACGCTCTGAAGCAATCAGCCATAATTGGGGGAAAGTAGTCGCATGTGGGTTTGACTAAAAGGCTGGTAAAATGCATACATTTATAGCTATATTTTTAAAAATTAATTTCACATGACTTTTGTCCCCTTCGCGCGACTTTACCTCACAAATAGGTGTTAAAAACAGCAAGCTCTCAGTGTTTTACTATTTTTCACCTCTTTATCGCATACCTACTTACTGAAAAAGATCAGGAAATATAGAAGTACGCGGCTTTCTGGGCCATATCTTTAGAAAATCAAGGTTTTCTCCACAAACCTGAGAGAAAGTCTTTCTCTAAAAATAGTTTTTGTAATTGCTACAACTCTTGTTTTGCTTGTTAAGAGAAGCGGAACATGATTAAATGTCGGACTTTGGTGGGAAGACCCATAAAAATCAATTAGAAATGCAAATTGTCATTTTAATTCAATCAAAGGTATCCCAATTGAAAGGCAAACAATTGGAAAATGCAAAATTTGCCCCCTGGGTTAACTCATGTGAACTTTGCTTCGGAAGCAAGCTGGGGCTTTTTCGATAGTTCTTATAACGCCACGTTTCCTGGTATGGCCGTTGATTTTCGATGCAGTATTTCATCAGTTTTTTAGATACAGCCACGATTAGCCCACCCGTCTTTGTTTATTTACTTATCGTTTAGAATTGCCACTTTTTGCAACGCCCTCGGGGACTAAAGAAATGCGTCACAAGCCGACGACAAGCGACGATGATTGCGATTACTTATATTTCGCGCAGTTCGTGTGTAATGGGCAAAGTAAAGTGGCGAGACGCCCTCGCTATCTTATCGCGGGCATAGTTTGTAGTTTGTGTCCAGGTTCTGGAGAGGGGGTCCGGCGTATCCGCCAGTTCCACGCCTCCCCACCCTTTGGTTTAGTTAGTTGGCGTAGTTATGGAATGATACGCTATCGCTACGCATTATGAAACGAAAACGGGCGGTCGCCTGATTTTCTTGTTTTGGGCAGTGCTATCAACGTTTTTGCGTTTAGTTCTAAAGGCTTTTTCTTAGAGATATTAACTAACGAGTTGTAGTCGTTGTATTTATTATCTTTCTTTAAAATGTTCATTGTTGTTTTTTAATAACTAAAAACCAAAAGAGAATCTAAGTAAAAATTTAAAATTTCTTTTAGGAACTATTAGAAAACCACTTTATAAAAAATTTTTTTTTTTTTTTAATAAAGTATTCATATTTTTATGAATAAAAAGGCCAAACAAACTTTCCTCTGAGCTGTATATATCTTAAAAATCCTTAAAAACAAAACAAAAATTATGGCACGTTTAAGTTAAATCAAATAAAATAATGAAAGAATTTGAAAATCTTTAAATTTCCCCTACTTCACCTCCTAAATGCATAATACTTGAAGAAAAAGTGAAAATTTCCCTTTAAAAAGCTGGCAAACCCGGGCAAACAAATCCGGCAAACGGAAAGTGACGAGTGACAGTTGAGAGATGGAAGCAGGCAGCTGAAGCGGATTCCTAATCCCCGGCAATTGAGGTGGAATTTTCCTCGCCAGGCAGCAATTCGAGGCCAAGGGGTCACCGGCGAAAGGGCTTACCAGATTAATATCAGGGTGGTGACCACATTGAGGATCAGGCCCACGATGGTGATGAGATTGGGGGCCAGCCAAAGGGGCGTCTGGGCCACCAGCCAGTTCCACCAGGGCTGCAGCAGCGGATCGAGGAGGCTGGCGCTGAAGCAGGAGTACTTGTGCTCGCTCAGCTTCCTCAGCTGCTGGGCACTCAAGATGTGCTTCTCCCGGTAGGCGAGCAGCGGCATTTTCCTTCGAGTTACGTCGTGCGAATTCCGATGGCGAATCCCTGACGCGCTTTTCGCTTTTCACTTTTCACTTTCCTCTGACCTAGCGCTTTTCCCTCGCGCGCATTTGTATACGTGTTCCTCGCAGTGCTCCTGTGTGTTTGTGTGTGTGTGCTCGCTTTTCCTGGCTATTTCCACACGTGGACCGCAATGCTGGCGAAACTACGGATCGCGCTTTGACTAGCGGTTGAGAACCGTGGCGTGGGCGGCTGTACGGTTACGTGGATGCGCGCGGCGACTCCGCACTTGTATGTTTACTTAACAAAATTAACTTAATTGGACGACCGTGCCGTGCCGTTTTTTTTTCTTATTTCCATATGAGCTAGTGGTGGAGAAACATCGATGAAAACATCGCCGCATCGATGAAACATCGCTTTTTTGGCGACAATCGATGTTTTTGTCGATGTTATTTTAAAGAAACGGCGGAAAATGTGTTTTTATTTTCAATTTTATAAGAAAGCCTTTGTTTTTTGTTTTACTATGAGAAACTTTGATGTTTTAACCTGACTGTGGCTGGGGGCAAAAATTAATTAATTTAAAATAAGAACTGAAATACCAAAAATATACCGTAATACAAACGGACATGTGGGTAGAGAACTTTGATAAACATATTTAACAGCTGTCAAGTGTCTGTTAATTCATCTTAAAATCCTTCAAGACTGTAAATTGATTTATTTACTATTGATTGCCAATAAACAAAACTGCTTGTTAGTAGATCTATATAAGTGGAGTTCTCACCATATTAATGCAAATCCTATTCAGCTTTTTAGTCAAGACTAGAACCCATGAACTGTTAGTTTAACAGCGATATTCCCATTGCTGTTAAAAATTCCATAGTAATAATCTTGCGCCACCCTTCTAACCTATCGATAGCCACTCAACTCGCATTCCAAACCCCCGCTTCAAACCGCCAAACCGAATTCAAATTTATATATCATAGTTTATTAGATAAATCAGTTTGTTGCTTAAACTACGTCCTCAACTTAACATACCGTATGCAATGTTTCATTTGTGTATTCGCTTGTTAGTTAATATCTAAACCTTGTCATTTGCCTGCTTTATTGTTACGATTAGAATTTAAGTTTAAATATGCGGCTACTACTGGTTCTGGGCCGAGAAATGTTCGCCAACGCCTGCAAATATGCTCAAAAAGTACAAAACTGTCGTGCGTCCAGCTGCTGGCCAATATAAATTGCGGCTTATGTAAACTATGGCCTATCAAAAGTTATTTTGATGTGTTGTTTCCATGAGGCATCGTCGTCGTGTTTCTTAGTTTGGTGGATATTAGGAAAATGTATAATGTATTTGCTTCGATATATATATATATATGTATATATAGAGATAAAAAAATAGGCTTAAAATGTTTCGTTTTAGCGTTTTGTTGTTGTTTAAATTACTTTATATTGGCAACTCTCATTACATTTGTTTATGCATATAGTTATGTAGTTGAAAAACGTTGGAACGTGCAACTATTTCGCCTTGCTGATGACAAAAAAGGTTATACACAGCACACTCAACCAATTACAATAATAGTAGTAGTAATAATTTATAGCACAATATGATATAGCAGCAGTTTGAAACTTTTTACACATGTCACAAATGATTTCTTCCATTTTCATGATTTATTTTTGCGTACATAATCGAGCTGGTGTTGGTCAGTGTTGTTCTTTGCAACAATAAGAATAAAACAAGAACAGACAGTGAGCGACATAGCTAAATTATTGACAATTTCAAATTCTAAAGTGAGGGGACAAAATGTCACATTATCAAGTTACAGTCGCCGCAAAAAGTGCATGTGCAGCCGAGGCCTAATATCGTTAGTTTTGCAATATGGAGATACATATTAATTATAGATGCGTGCATGTATGCATATAGTAACCAGCGATGCAAAGAATTAATTTAATTTAATTTACTTGGTAGGCATTTACGATAATATAATATAAATTTTGTTTTAATTGTCTTCAGCTTTGAGACATTTAGGCAAAAGTTTTGTTTTCATAGTGAATTTGTTTTGTGTTCTATAAAACGTGTTAAGCATTAGGTTGGTTGGTAATTCGTTATCATATAATCATAATAATATAAGTGTTTACTCGCTCTGAAACGCACTCCGTCAAACATCAAATAAACTAAAGAGCACATTTGGGGCAATTCTCAACACTCGTTTCGATTTCGATTTCGAAGCACAGGACAAATATTCTCTTTATCGAACTTAAATTATATATTTATATCAAAAATCCGTTGGTTTACAATAATAATAATAGTGCCATTCGGTATGCAGACATACTTGCATATGCCTATAGTTGCGGTCAAGGTATTAGCAGTGAGTTTCGCCCTCTCTGTAGCAGGATGCCAAAGGAAAACTCGGATCAAATGCTGTTTATTCGGCCGCAGCTATATATACACAAATAAATTTACATATCTAGTTTAAAGTGTCACTCAGTTGCTATGAAACGACCTCGTAATGGTATCGTAATTCGTAATGTATTGTTTTATCAAAAAACGTCAAAACGTAAAAAATGCATTCGGCTTATAGGCTTAATCTTGTGTTGTATACGTTGTTGTCTACAGAATCTATGTCCACGCTTCTTGTATATAAATATTTTTAAAATTTGTGTTTAGTTCCTTCTTGCTGTTATTTGCAATTGCTGATGATGCTGCCTAATCGTTATGGGGGGTGTTTGTAGTGTGTGTGTTGTGTTTTCCGCGGGGAAGGTGAAGGGGAAGCGGCGTGTGTGCGGCGTCCCTCCTTAGAAGTTATCTTATTATGAATGATATGGCGTCACATAAGTTGCTGGGAAGATTCCTTTCCTATTGCCGATCTCGCCGTTCCACCAGTTCTCGTCGGAGCGATCTGTGACGGTGATGACATCGCCGCGTCTGAAGTCCAATTCCCCGGATTCCTGTGGCACAAAATCGTACAGCGCCTGCACAAGCATCTGCAATAAGAAATCGGTGGGAGATCATGAATCCAATCTAATATTCTTGGCATCACTGTTTGTTTATAGTTCGAATGGGTGGGCGGCGGCACGCAAAAGCATGACCTCAATGTGTTACGCGAAATTTGTATTTTTAAAATGAATCCCCATGTCTTTTCCGCTGAATCGTCAGCGGAATGAACGGGCACGGCACACCCACCTCTTCAGGTATCATATCACGCAATTTGACATCCTGCGACCGGGAAACGCTCGCCGTCCGATGATATTCGACCAGTTCGTTGAGGGAGTTGAACTTGACCACCCAGAGAAAGAATTTGCTTTGGGCATCGCGCAGAACCTTGAAATGCTGAACACCATCGGGGCATCTGTGCGAAAAAATAATTAAAGACTTTAATTCTATAAAGGTTATCTCGTGAGGAAACTTACTTGACTGATAAGGAGAAATCGCCGGGACTGGATTCGCTGATGCGTATCAAAAAGGCGCCTTCGTGCTTATTTGAGAGTAACTTTTCGGCATCAGCGCGTGTGATACGTCCGTAATACCAACTGCAGAGGAAATTAAGATTAATTGAGATTTTGATTTAGGGATTTCGACTTGAACTTACTCGTGATTCTTCATTTCTATGTAATTACTGGGTATGAGGCCTTCCTTTCCATCCAGCTCGGCGCGATACCAATTTGAATCATCTTCCATATTTAATATCTGTAGAATAGGGATTTATTATGACTATGTATACAATCTGATCAATAAATAAAATAATATTATTTTCCACTGTTACAGTAAAACGTTTATTTCCCTGCAAGTCTTTGAATGTTAGTTTAGTTAACCCTTGATTATGTGAATAGACATATTTTATAAGATTTTTTCTGTCCAACAATAATTTTTAAGTTCTAAAATAATGCTGGGATCTATTTAAGTCTATTGGAATTAAAATTAAGATAAAAAGTTTCCATAGACTTTAAATAGGTACCTTTTATACCAAATCCTATAAGATTTAAAGCCTTTAAAATTCATTTTAAAAATTAAAATTTCCCTTCTTAAGTGTATAAATAATCCACCCTAATAAAGACTGAGTTAAAGATTTTAATTGCCTTCTTCTGTCAATTAAACACCAGATACAAAATGAGAAATCCGACCCCAAAATACAATGTAAGAACCTGCTTCTGCCGCTTGCATTTTAAAGGCCACACCCCTTTAATCGCCCCAGACAATGGGGATCAATCGAAACATTCTTCCGCTTTGTTTATTGGAGACTGGCCCGATTCCCCAGAGATTTCGATAAACAATTTTCAATTGTTTGTTGATTGAGAGTCCCAAAACTGTGTCAGTGCGCAATCAACGGCAGGCAATGAAGATAGGCTTACGCGCTGGGAAACATATCTACTATCTCCCCTATTCTCATATCTGTTTCTTGCGGACCGCTAAAAATAAACAAGCATTATGGCCGACATGTGATAAGAATGTTAAGTGAAACGGGGCTCTCGTCGAGTGGGCGAATTTCACTTTTGTGTATCTAATGGACTTTTTCCTAGCTGCTTTTTTGTTTGCCCATTTCGCATGCCAATGACACAACAAGTAGTCTGTACGTAATCGCCGACTTTTATGATTTCTGTCGATTGACAGACAAAATTGAAGTTTGCCTATCTGCAAAGGTCTCGTTGTTTGCTTAGCCACTGGGATTTCCCATTTTTGAAGGTGCTCTGCGGGCTTTTTCATGAATGAATGTGTGTGTTAGCATCGACCTCCACACACCTGAGCTTAAGTTTGCTTTTTTTATCCAAGGAACTCTTCCCACAAGCACGCAAAGGTCAGGATTAAGCAAGAGTAACACCCTATACCTTCCCGATAAGTAAAATAGGCCTTGAGGTAAATACATTGCTATCTCTATGTATTTCTTTCATTTTTCGCCAACGGATTTTTCCTTGAGTAATTGAGTTATTTGGCAGGTTTTGTTGTTGTTTTCCAATAACGTTCGTTCGTCAAGTCGGAATAATGGAATGACATTCAAATGAGTCACTAAACCCCCTGGTGATACTGTGTATTTAAGGGGTTGTTGGGTTCCCGAAGTTTATAGAAGTTCTGCGTCATCGCGTAATTTTCTCATTAATGTTTCATCGACATTGTCATATTTATAATTGGGCGGGGAAATTCAAGGGGTTGACTATTAAAAAGTGGTTACTAATAAGAACTGCAAAGTCTAACTTATCTCGTCTAATAAATTAACGACATTCATCGATTTTCTACTAATTAAAAGAAAAACAAAATTCTTTTTTTTATAAATAGTACATAATACAACTTTAGAAATAATATTATATGAAAATACCCAAGTAAAAGATATCCCAAAGTCGTGTCAAGCCCAAGTTTTTGGTTAAATTTTCGCACGTCGAATGGTGAGAGGGATTCGTGGGGGATTGGGGGTGTCAAAGTCGATTCCAGCTTATGTAAAACTCAATTATTGTTCTCACTGTTGGCAGTGGCAGTGGGATTTGCCCGCTCAGCTGGATCTGCCCCGACTAATTGGCATAGCTCCATAGTTCTTACCACCTCCCATAGCCGATCCCACCCGCATCTGTCACCCAGACATTGTTCATCGTATGTTTATTTATTATACCCGTTACTCGTAGAGTAAAAGGGAAATTAGATTTGAAAAAAAAAAAAAAAAAAAAAGGAATTCCCCCCCCAAAAAAAAAAAAATTTTTTTAAAAGGCGCACCACCCCCCACAAAACCCCCCCCCCCCCCCCCCCCTCTTTTTTTTTCCCCCCCCCCCCCTCCCTCCCCCCTCCCTTTTTTCCCTTTTTTTAAAAACAAAAAAAAAAAAAAAAAAAAAAAAAAAAAGAAGAAAAATTTCCCCCCCATTTTTTTTTTCCCCCCCCCCCCCAAAATTTTTTTTTCCCCCCCCCCCCCCCCCCCCCCACCCCCCCACCCCCCCCAAAAAAATTTTAAAAAACCCCCCCCCCCCTTTAAAAAAATAAAAAAAAAAAAAAAAAAAATTTTTTTTTTTTTTAAAAAAAAAAAAAAAAAAAAAAAAAAAAAAAAAAAAAAAAAAAAAAAAAAAAAAAAAAAAAAAAAAAAAAAAAAAAAAAAAAATTTTTTCCCCCCCCCCCCTTTTTTTAATTTATTATTATAATTAAAAAAACAACCCCCCCCCCCCCCTTTTTTTTTTTTTGAGGGGGGGGAAAAAAAGAAAAAAAAAAAAATTTTTTAGCTTGTTTCATTCATTGAAAACAGTCCGCCGAGAAATTTATTTCCACGGATTCGTCGTCTATTACAGAAAGTTTTCTCGCGGCCCTACACATTGAAAATTTGGAGGGGGAAATTGTGAACTCATGATGATGCTTTCTAGAAAAATTTAAAATGTATTTATTACTTTTTATAATATCATTCCCCAACTCAAAAGAAATTAGAACTTACTATAGTGCACTGTTACAAGGCTTAATAGTTTTTTTTTCAGTGCAGGGAATGTGCCTGACTGTTGGATAATGCATAAATATTTCGCGGCGCTCTCGGAAAGCTGGCACGTAGTGGCCATGATTGTTATTATCAATTGTTTATTCTCGTATGTTTATGTAATTACTAGAGAAAAATTCTATTGTAGTTTCGGGTTCTACGCTGAAAAGTGTCAAAGCGACACGAACGTTCACTTTTCGTTGTTTTAGCGACAAGCGAAAGTTGAACTTGGAATCTCAGTTCGTGTTTTCGTTATGATAAACCAAAGCCGTTAGAATTCGAGGAATAGTTCCCAGAAAATGTAGGTATCTCGAAATATCCAATAAATGAAATACGCTGTTTGAAAACCAGTTTGTGAAAAGAAACCGAATGAAATGCTCGATGATTCACGACTTAAGTCCTCTATCGCTGTGTCTGTGTGTTTGGTGGATTGGGAATCTTTTCAGATAAGGCCATCGAGAGTGACTAAGCAGCAGGGGCAAACAAATGCGTTCGAAATTCGAATTGGTGCGATTATCTCATACATATCTCTGGATGCCTCTATCCCCGACCTGTGGTAGCCGACCAGGCAGTTGGGTTAAACGAACTGCCCCTATCAGTGGGATTGTTTACCGAGTGATAAGCCCCGGACGGACTGGGGAGGAAGTTCCTTGAGAGCTCTTCGTAGACGTAGAAGACCCTCTAATGGACGAGAGCAACGCACACACTTGACCTTCGGGGAGCGATAAAGAAGCTTCTTCGGCGAGTCATTGACACCATCAATCAGCAGCCGCAAAAGCAACAGCAGCAGCAGCAGCACAGCATATGGAAAAAATGCAAAAAGGGAAAAAACCTGCCACAGGCCTGGGTTCCTGCTGTGACTAACCTACGACAAGGTAGACACACGGCAACGAAAATCAGCTTACAGCGCGCCCTGGCAACAAGAAACCGGAAAATTCGCCAGCCAAAACAAAGGGTTTGGCCTAGGACAGCCAACACAAACACCTGGAAGGAAGGCGACTGCGAAAAAGATCGAATCGCAGCCTGGCAGCAGCCTTTTCTTTGCCAAGAAAATAAAACCAAACGGGCTCAGATCGGATGTGCCCACAAAAGCTCCGCAAAGGCTAAAATGGCAGAGGAAAATGATATCACTTAGGTCCGGTTTTTGGTCCGGAAAAAAGTAGGCTTTAAACCTAGAAAACCTTTGATTTTTAGTAAATTAAAAAAAATAGTTTAAGTTTTACAGTGAAAAAAGATATAATCTGGTGCTGAAAGCTTTATAACTACTAAGTATAATATCGTTACTGCAAACTAAAAAAAAAAATTCAAAGATCGTGAAAATGAATTAGCAAATATATACTAATGCCATACCAATAACAATAGAATTTTTTTGACTCATCTTATTTTTGATAAATTGTTAATTAAAAAAAAAAACAAGTAATCAAATATTTTTACAATATTGAGCATATAACAACAAGTAGGGCATTCTTCGCTTCGGCAATCCAAGGTTTATGTAAATATAATTTAAATTTATATAAATTCCCATACTATATACATTTTTGATATTTTATAGAGGCGGAAATGTCTCCCTTCTGCACTGCAAGCAAATGACAGGGAAATCGAGTATTAAAATTGTATTAGAACTTGTTGATAACAAGGGGTAATGGGTTAATGGGTTTTGAAATAGGTTTATAGCTTCTTATCTTGTGGATAACGAAAAGAGTGGTAATACTTCTGCATGTCTGTCAAATGGGTTTTCCCGGTTCTGTGAGAGTATTTGAGTTAGGGTGAGTCACTAAGCGTAATCCTTTCGTGTTGTCTTCTCCGGATGCACCTTTTGAACCGCTTTTGCCAGCTTTTACGAGTATGTGCCACCACTCCCGTTCGTCGGGATTTATGTAGTAACGAAATCCGTCTGGAGCCAGGGATGTGGGTTAAGGCAACGACCTGGACAACTGCATCGCTGCGGATTATGCATGCAGGTCCTGCCCCGCCCCCTAGCAGTCTACAGTCTATGAATAAATCCAGATATTATGATTGGGGGAACTACTCACCTTTAGGATCTGAGTTTTGCGAAAACTCAGCTCGTCGTCGGCCGTCGCAGAGAAATCGTGTTTGGCAATCGCTTCCATTTTGTGTTTTTTACTGCTGCCGCTGTTTTGTGCGCAATTACAAAACGCCTTTGGAGTTTATTTTAAATTTAGTGTAGTTATAGTTTTGGATTTAGTTTTATCAGCCTTGATGCACCACACACACACAGACACAGGCACTCGCACTGCACAGCATACACGGGCAGGTTGGAATTCTCTCCTCGCGTTCCGTCTCTCTCTCTCTCACTCACTGCTCACTAATGCTGTGGAAATGGAAACGAATCCGTGATTAGTTGGCGCACATTCTTATATAAACAATAAATCATGGATATTCGGCAGCGCGCCTTTCTGGTTAATAATAATATATTTCTCGGGCGAAGCGAGAAAAAGCGATTAAAAATACACCGACGACGACGACATGCCCAGGCGGAGCAGCAACAGAGAATGAGCCGCTCTCTCGCTCGCTCTCCCGTCGCCTGCTCGTGCGTGCGTGTGTGAGCCTGGCAGCGTTGCCAGCAGCTTGCAATTTGTAAATTCGGGGAAAAGCAGGTACCGCAAAAGCAATTAAGCGTTAACCAGCTATAGCCTGTGTTCTACGATTTTCTATATTGCAAATGATCCTCAATGCCCGCCCCAGGCCATAAATATAATTCGATTATCTAGGGCGTGGGTGCTTGCTGTTGGCAATGCCGCCGCGGTGACGTTGTTGTTTGTTTTATTTTTTGTAACCCCAATAAACACACACACTCGCACGCGCGGCGCTTGTATTTATATATGTACAAGCAAGTTTCGGCGAACTATTTTGGGTTTATTGCATTTGCAAACAGGCCGCTTGGCTCACTATTATAAAGGCTGGGGCGGCTGCAAGCTTAGGCGACACTAATTAGGCGCGGGAGCGGTTTTATTAACATATTACTAGAGCTAAATTTGTAATTCACGCCTAGCCAGTATTTTTATTCTTTTCTAGTATTTTTTTATGCCGAAATCGAAGAAGAAGAGGTGTATCGATAGGTTCGGACTATCGACGCTCCTGAACTCGAAGAAGAAGAGGTGTATCGATAGGTTTGTTCAAAAGACGCCTCCGGAAATCGAAAATTTTTAAATTGAAAAAGTAAAGAAAATTTGGAAGGGAAAAGCCGTGAGATGCGTTCAGTTCTTGCGAGCAGCAGCCATTAGCCCAACAGCAGTGTTAGCCAAGTGGTACAACGTGCCTGAACAGCAAATTTGAAAACACAAAATAAGAGACGCTTTGCCGGAAAACTCAGCATTACCATTAAATTCCAACAGGACACTTAATTTGCAGTCGTCGCCATGCAGCGTCACAAGGAACTGTACAAGGAGCAGTCGCTGGTGCTGAGCCCGCGCAACCACTGCCAGGAGAACCGGGAACGTTTGCAGGCGGCGCGCGCCAAAAAGCGGGAGGATTGCTTTCACCAGAACCGCATAATCAGCGTGAGTCCCACTCCGGTCAAGGCGAAGACTTTCCAAGAGCCTGTGGCCCAGGAGAATGTGGTGCCCAAGGTGGAGGTCCAGGAGCAGCCGAAGGAGTCCGTGGATCCGCCGGGCCCATCCAATCCTAAAGCCCCCCGCCAGACGGCGTTCCTCAAGCGCTACATGGAATGGAAGGTCGCCAAGAACAAGGAGCACAAGCAGCGGGAGCAGACGCGTCGTGGGGCGGCCATCAGTGCTCCGCCCGTCAATCAATCGAAGGCTTTTCCCAAATCCCAAACCTTTCGGGTACCCGAAAACCTGGCTCCCACCAAGCAGAAAGGCGATGCTGCCGCCGTTTTTCAGCCGTCCAAACGTGCCTCGCTCTACGTGATTGCCAATTCCATTGGCAGGGTCAAAGGAAAAGCCCCCGAAGCCATCAAGCCACCCACAGTTACTTCTTTGGTAACGAAGCCAATGACTCAAGCTGCTCCAACGGCCAAAGCAACGCCTGCAGCAACCAAACAAGCAACAAAACCCATGACTGCCGCTTTGGCGAGACAGAAGGCAACTCCTTCGGCAAAACCAAGTGTAGCAGTATCTCGTACTACCACCAATCCGGTGGCTTTGGCCAGGCAAAAGGCAGCTGCGCGACCTTTAACCACTGGTACGAATCTCAGGACCAGGCTGCCAGCAACTGAGGCCAAGAAGGCAACTACAGTTCCCAAATCTTCGGCTGCAACGCTCAACAAAGTGAAAGCGGACACCGCGCGGCCACAGGGAAGATTTCCCGCCTCTGCAGTGCCAAGGGTGGCTAGACTGGCCAATGTGAAGTCTCAGCCGTTCGAGAAACCCTTCGGGAAGTAGAGCACCAGGTCGGGCGAACGTGGTAAAGCCGCTGTCCATTCGTGGCGGAGGTGGGGCCGTTGGAAAATTCAAGGACTCGGAGGGAGTGGCCAACAAGGCTGTAAGTCATGCCCAGCGAATGAAGGCCAACAAGCAGAAGAGCCAGTATACGAAGCTCCAGGACAACGTCCGAAAGCTGCCGCAGCTCAAGGCCGAGTTGCTGCAGGCAGCGGCCTTCCTGGACATACCGCCACTCACGCCGCTGGAGGAGATCCACAATCCCTTCCTCGACCAGGCCACATCCACGCAGTGCAGGTCCAACAATACCAGCGGCAGTCTTCTGGATGCCTTTGGCGACGACAACTTGCCGAGCCCAGTGGCACCGGCCAAAAGTGGAGATAGTACGGTCAAGAGGCAACTGCTGCCGGCGGATAAGGCTGAGGTTCCAGTTTCGGTGGCCAAGAAAAAGTTTGACTTCTCGCGTTACTCCGTGGCCAATTCGCCGGCGGAGGACTCTCTGATCTTGGATCCCCAGCAGTCGACAAGTGAGTACGCAGGTATTTCTCCGCCAGCCGCAATCTCATGTTTCCTTCCAGTTAAAGAAAAAGAACTCGAAGGGGATGCTACCCTAATGCCCGAAGTGGAGAAGACACCGCCACGCCGCGAGTCCAATGGGATGCCCAACTATCTCAGCCCCTTTGTGAGCGTCTCGCGCGGGAAGGTGAACTCGCGCTACGAGAAGGAGAAACGGAACAGCTTCTACCTGCCCGACGAGGAGTCGCCGCTGGAGGTGCGCCGTGCCGTCGAATCTGTTCTCTATTTCCGGCTGCAGCTGAGCAACGAGATTGCGCGCCTCAATGGCCTCTGCAGCGAATGGGAGGCGCACAGCAAGGAGAACGAGGCTCGTTTGCAGGAAACGGGCGGCATTGACATGATCAACGTGACCATCGGCCAGACGCGCCTCTTAACCACCAAGAAGATGATGCAGTTTAGCGGCCTGATCGATCGCTGCGAGGCGGGCGCCACAGGCAAGAATCGCAGGGCAAACGACGGCAGTGAGGACACGAAACCGGTGCAGACGGAGGATCTGGAGGGCTGGTGGGACATGTTGCGCCTGCAGAGCGAGAATGTGGACAAGCGCTTCGCGAACCTGAAGCGCTGGAAGGACAACGACTGGCTCGATCCGGATGCAGTGGCCGAAGAGCCCAAGCAGCCAAAGCCGAAACCCTAAGACGGATCGCACCACGAAGATCAAGTCAAAGGCCAAGCCCACCAGCAATCTGAAGCAGTTTCTCCGCAAAGCGCATGCCAACATGAAGAAGATAAAGGTGGAGGATCCGTCGATAATGGAAGATGGTGCTCCTTCGTCCTCCACGCGTGTGGGTTCGCCTCGGGTGATTGTGGTCCGTAATCGCAGGTCCTTCTCGCCTGCCCGCACCGTTCTCCGCATGTCCAGTGGCGAGGGACGGCCATCCATTGCGCCAAATGCGCTTCTGAAATCCGCGATTCTGGCGGCCGCTGAGCAGAATGCTGCCAAGACGCCGCCGGCAAAGCCGCGAGCCTCCATCCTAAAAACGCCGGGCACCAGCAAACGCCAGAGCCGTGGCGTCCTCTTCAGCGCCAAGAAGAGCGTGCGTCGCTTCCAGTTCACCTACGAGGAGGGCAACATCAGCAACGACGAGACGGTGGGCGCCGACAAGCTGGAAGACTGCGAGGAGGACATGTCGCTGGAGGCGTCCTCGGAGCGTCGATCCATGGACCAGGATCCCGGGTCAGCGGGTCAGGCCAATGGGCAAACCCCTCGGGCTTACACGCTGCGCAACCGACGAGTGAATCTGCGTCCCTCTTCGGAATTCATGTAGTTTTGTGTTGGGTAGAATTGTTTATATTTGTATTCATTAGTTTAATGTTTAAGTACGGAATGCCATTAAGTGTTAATTGTTCAGGATGTTATAGCTTTCATTTGGCATTTTGAATATTCTATGTTTATGTTTTGTGAAAATTTAATCATCTTAAATTTAATAAATTATATTGATATCTATTAAACAGTGAAGAAAATAAAAAGATTACGAATTTAATAGGTTTGTTTGGTGTCAGTCCTCTAGGGTTTCCTTTTTATAATTCTTCTAATTTATATTCACACAATATAGCAAGTATTCGGCTCGATTTAAGATTACGAATTAAATATATGTTTGCTTGCAGTCAATATTCTAGTGTTTCGTTTTTATAAATCTTCAAATTTATATTCACACAATAGAGAAAGTAAACAGATCGATTTAACTATAAATTTGCAGCAAGTTCTGTAATTAAATTTTCAAATATTTTTGAAAGTCAAAACATTTGGTTGATGTCTGTGCTAAGACGTTATTCGAGTCATTCTCCATGACGCCATTCGATCATCTAGTATTTTTAAGCTATTTTCAGTATTATTCGAGCACATTTTAGTATATTTATGCCCGTGCCGTGGTATTCTTTAACGGTTTCGCAACGGTCCACTCCGATTCATAAACGAAATAGAAGTTCACTCGACGGCAATTTAAATTTAATTTTGAATTTGCTGTTGCATTCGATTGTAAATACGCGCTGATAAGGCCGCCAAATGAAAGTGCAAATAGCAGTGATATCGCGCCGCGCATCTCACCGCAGTGACTAATAACCTCTCCACTGTTTCGTTCGCCCGCGACGCCCTTCGAGTTCAACGCATTCATATTTCCGAGTGCAGATTTTCTTTTTGCTTTGCCCGCAGTGACCGCGCACTGCAATCAAATTAGGGGCAAATATCCGCTTCTCGAGCCGCTCCAGCACACGACACGCAGCAAGGACATAACATGGACACCAGTGGCGGCAATTTGGGTGAGGACCTGGTCATTTCGTATTTCAAATTGAATTTTCAACCTCTGCTACAGCGTGTACTCGCCATGGCAGTTGGTCGTCCGCTGGCGCGCAAATTGTTCCCCTCGATTTGTGACCCCCCTGCGCATATTTACACTTTTGCAACGCCACAGTCAGGCGGATTTACATATCGTTGTTGCCCCTCGATTTGAAAATCCTTGGCGATCGCCCAGAACTTTGATTTTTCATAAGTTTTTGCACTCTGCTGACGAAACGAAAAGTGCTTTTAACGATCTGGGAACACCCCATAAGGCAGTGATGCCAGATTGGTTGTTACACATATGGACATGTGTTTCTTTGTATTGGTGTTTTAGTGGGGTACAGTCTTGGGGGCAATTGTTGTTTGCCCATAAAAATTGTAGAAACATACAATTGAGGTAATGTCAGGCCACAACATTTAATCATGGCGTTGAGAAAAAGTCTCATCAAGCCTATTACCTATGAGGGGCTGGTTAGGTGGGTGATAAATGGGTGTCAAAAAACGCGCACAAAATAATAACGTCGACAAGGGCTGCCACCCCTTTCAAAAGTCTTATGCAAAATAAGCAGGCTATCAATGTGTAATTTTATTTTTAAATAGCTAAGAATTGTTATTAGATTTAAGTTTAGTGATCCATTTTTAAGAAATATTCAAAACTAAAACCTTTTTTGGTACAAAATATATAAATAAAATGAAATAATCGTAATCGATATCTGATGGCTATCGGAAAAACCCACCGTAGTGGCAGCTCTGGCGTACAGCACATTTCAGGGTTTACGCAATTTCTCGGCCATAAGATTTTCCTCGACCCGTGAAAAGGCCTTTTGCCCCCTGCCAGGACAGCTAAATCTTCACCTGTAAGTGCAGTTGGTGTTCCCTTATTCAAAGCGCCCATCCTAACCCGACTCTCCAGTTAGAAGCGCTCAGAGGAAGCCCAGAACCATGTCACATGCATTTGCCGCCGTCGTCTGCCGGTCCGCCGGATCGATGTCTTTGGCCCTGCGCTGCAGCCGGCGGGCCATGAGCTCCGCGAGAATGCTGCGCCTGGCGGGCGCCACTGCCTCCAGCACTGCCTGCAAGGATTGGCAGCGCAACGGACTGCTGTCTGCCCCCCGGACGGGCAACATGCAGCAGTACCTGCGCCAGTATGCCAACGAGAAGAAGGTCTTCGAGCGAACCAAGCCCCATTGCAATGTCGGCACCATCGGCCATGTGGATCACGGCAAAACGACGCTGACGGCGGCCATCACCAAGGTCCTGGCCGACAAGCAGCTGGCCGAGAGCAAGAAGTACAACGAGATCGACAATGCGCCCGAGGAGAAGGCGCGCGGCATCACCATCAATGTGGCCCACGTGGAGTACCAGACGGAGACGCGGCACTACGGCCACACGGACTGCCCCGGGCATGCGGACTACATCAAGAACATGATCACCGGCACCGCCCAGATGGACGGCGCCATTCTCGTGGTGGCCGCCACCGATGGCGCCATGCCCCAGACCCGCGAGCACATGCTGCTGGCCAAGCAGATCGGCATCGATCACATCGTTGTGTTCATCAACAAGGTGGACGCCGCCGATCAGGAGATGGTCGATCTGGTGGAGATGGAGATCCGGGAGCTGCTCACCGAGATGGGCTACGATGGCGACAAGATTCCCGTGGTGAAGGGCTCGGCGCTGTGCGCCCTGGAGGACAAGAGCCCCGAGATCGGCAAGGAGGCCATCCTCCAGCTGCTGCAGGAAGTGGATAGCTTCATTCCCACGCCGGTGCGCGAGCTGGACAAGCCGTTCCTGCTGCCGGTGGAGAATGTTTACTCGATTCCCGGACGTGGCACGGTCGTCACGGGCCGCCTGGAGCGCGGCGTAGTCAAGAAGGGCATGGAGTGCGAGTTCGTGGGCTACAACAAGGTGCTCAAGTCGACGGTCACGGGCGTTGAGATGTTCCATCAGATCCTGGAGGAGGCCCAGGCCGGCGATCAGCTGGGAGCGCTGGTGCGAGGCGTTAAGCGGGATGACATCAAGCGCGGCATGGTTATGTGCAAGCCGGGCAGTGTGAAGGCTCTCGATCAGCTGGAGGCCCAGGTGTACATCCTGTCCAAGGAGGAGGGCGGCCGGACCAAGCCCTTCATGTCCTTCATCCAACTGCAGATGTTCTCGCGCACCTGGGATTGCGCCGTCCAGGTGCAGATCCCCGACAAGGAGATGGTCATGCCCGGCGAGGACACCAAGCTCATCCTGCGCCTCATCCGGCCCATGGTCTTGGAGCAGGGACAGCGCTTCACGCTGCGCGACGGAAACCTGACCCTGGGCACCGGCGTCGTCACCAACACCATGCCCGCCCTGACTGAATCGCAGCGATCCGAGCTGACGGAGGGCAAGAAGGCGCGCGAGAAGAAGGCCGAGGGCAAGAAGTAGAGCTCCGGATCGCCGTCAGTCATTAACTAAAATCATATTCTTAAGCGATTTTTATGCATATTGTATAAGTTGTTGGCGCTCCAATCCCAGTCGAGTAAAATAAAAACACAAACCCCTAAAGAGAAGCTGTAATTATAAATATCAGGGAGAGAACTTTAAGATCATTGGAACATTTTTGAAAAACTTTTTATTATTAGTTAGAACAAAAGAAGTGCTAGTTTCTTATAAAAATATTAAGTATTTCTTTATGCAAAAGGTACATTAACCAGCTGCTTTAATTTGCTATAGTTTGGTTTAAAATAAACCTGTAATTTTATATTAATTGCCCTCTCAATTACCCAGTTTTAAATTAAGGCGCCTGGGCTATCGCTCATGGTATCGCTAGTAGGCATCGATGACATCGCAAAATCGATAAATAACCGAAATCGATAAAAACCTTGAGCAGCTGATGATAAAGAACATTTTGAAATTGAATTGAAAATTGACAAAAATGAGTACTTACCGCGTAGACTACTTGTCGGGTATATTTAAGCAGCACAAACTTGAGTTCGCCATGTGAATAATACCCATTTCTGCCTGCAGATTCCCTGGACGACACGGAACCGCTGCCCGAACTGAGTTTCGAAGACTTTTTGGAGCCAACGTCGGACAAGAGCTCCCAACACATGGAAGTCGATGCCCTGGACTCGGATGACGACGATGGCGACGGCGACGAGCTGCCCGATCCGGCCAACGATTCCCTGAACACGCCGCAGTTCAAGAGGAACGTAGTGCAGATACTGGACGACAAACGGTTGCCCACCTCCGGAGTGACCGTTTTAAAGTCGCACGCCATCAAAGTGGTGACTGCCGGAGTTCCCTCGCCGGCCAAGCCGCAGATTACGGACGTTAAGATCCTGAACAAACTGAAACCGATAGCCAGCAATACCCTCAAGATCGGCAGCACCACCATCGCCACCACATCCACGCCGGGCACCATCACCAAGACCCTGAGCAACTTGACGCAGATCAAGACAAAGGATGGCCAGGTAATCTTTGTCCAAGAAGTCGGTACCTGCAACACAAAGCAGCAACCCGGTGGCCGGGTCACCGGGCGGAGGAATACGTCGTCTCGTTGCGCCGCAAAGGCATCCAAAAGGCGGTCCTCTCCAAGGGCGTCACCTTGGCGAGCACGGGCCTCGTCAAGGCGGCTGTGCCGGGCAAGGCGGGCCCCGCCACCACAGCCATCACCATCAAGGGCCTCACACCGCTGGCCGGAGGCAGTGCCAAGGCGGCGTCGCCCGGCACCGCGACCAACACATCCACGCCCCTGGCACAGCCCACCAAAATCCAGGTGGTGCGTACGGCCGACGGCAAGATCATCAAGATCAATCAGGCTGGTTCCTCGCTGCTGCTGAATGCCAAACAGCCGGGAGCTCCAACTCCAGTCACCCCGGGAAGCTCTTCCGCCAGCACCGTCAAGCTATCGCCCTCCACGGGAAATGTGGTGCTAGGCAAATCCGTTGGACAATTAGTGGTTAAGACGGCAGCTCCCGCAAAGCAGGTTTCAAACACAACGGGAAATACACCCACAAACACAACACCTGGAAAAATGTTGGTTCAAAGCGGTGGCAAACAGATTCTGGTGCCCAACAAAAACATTATCAAACTGTCGCCCAATGCTGGGGCCACCAGTTCTTTAACCTCGACGGCTGGCGGACAGACAGCTTCTCCCACGAGCGGATTGCATGCCATCCAGCTGCCTGGCAAGGCAGGAGTGCAATATGTACGCGTGCTGACCAACAATAAGAGTTCCGCCGGAACGAGTGCAACAGGGACGATGCCCAAGACCATGCAAGCCCACAAGATCACTGTGGTGCGGTCTACAGCTGCCGGTGCTGCAGCTCCTAGCTCGGCTGCCACATCTACTCCAGCAACCGGAGCAGCAGCAGCAGCGCCTGCAACAACAGCATCGCCAAAGGCAAACGTTTCCATGGGCAGCACTAACAAGATTGTAATGCGCACAACAGGCGGCAGCATTGTGCCGTTGCCCTCTATGCAGACATTGGTTTCCAAGGTGGGTATTGCAGTGCTTATGCCTATCTTACACTCTTTTAACCGCATTCACCTCTTTGCAGCGTGCGTTGGGCACTAGCACCACCGCTCCCAAGCCAGCCAGTGCGGTTCAGAGTAGCGTCAGTCCCACCGGCAGCCAGGAGTCGCCACGCAAACATCGGCTAACTGATCTCAACGCGCAGCTGAAGCATTTAGCCTCCGCCAGCAGTGATGCCAGCGACAGTAGCGATGCGGGTCCGGAGGCCAAGAAGCCGCGATACGTGATCGCCATGCAGCAAGGAGCACAACAGGCTACGCAGCCAGCTCAAAAGGTTATCAATAGACCAGCGAACGTGCAGCGTGTGGTGGCGGGCAACGCCAGTCCCAGTGCCCCTAAGAAAATCTACAACTTTGTCAAATCGACGGGAACCAATGGGGTCAAGTACATGATCTGCAATTCGGGTGTGCCCCAATCATCGACCAGTGCCATGCGACGAGGATACACCGGCTATGTGGACAACAAGTTGCGGCGAACGCTCTCCATTTCCTCGCAGCAGCATCGCTTTCAAGCAGATGAGTCCCCAGCAGCAGACAAAGCATCTGCAACTGCAGGCGCAGGCCAAGCAAAGGATTAGACAGCAGCAGCTGCAGACTCAACCGCAATCCGTGTCGATCAAGGTGGAACCAAAGCTGCCAACGCAGCCTGCAATCCAGAAGCCCACCGCTCCCGCAAAGCCGCTATTCGACATCCTCAAGCCTCCGGCAGCAGGGGCTGCGCCCGCTGGCGATGCGCTGGGCGGCATGACCTCGCGACGGAAGCACTGCAACTGCAGCAAGTCGCAGTGTCTGAAGCTCTACTGCGATTGCTTTGCCAACGGCGAGTTCTGCCAGGATTGTACCTGCAAGGATTGCTTCAACAATCTGGACTACGAAGTGGAGCGGGAGCGAGCCATTCGCAGTTGCCTCGACCGCAATCCAAGCGCCTTCAAGTGGGTTTTATTGCTCTATAAATATATTTAACTTCTGTGCTATAACCATTCTTTCCTTTCCTTTCCCAACAGACCCAAAATTACGGCGCCCAATTCAGGCGACATGCGTCTGCATAACAAAGGCTGCAATTGCAAAAGATCCGGCTGTCTCAAGAACTATTGCGAGTGCTACGAGGCAAAGATTCCCTGCACCAGCATATGTAAATGCGTGGGTAAGTAGATTAAAAAACGATATTTAACTCTGATTTAACTAACTGAAACTCCTACATATTGCAGGTTGTCGGAACATGGAAGACCGTCCGGATGTGGATATGGACTCGTTGGACGGCTTGATCGGAACGAAGGGTGCCAAAAAGGACAAAGCGAACGACAAGCACTCGCACGAGAATCGCGCAAATATGTATTTTACGGACGATGTCATCGAGGCGACCATCATGTGCATGATATCGCGGATCGTGATGCACGAGAAACAGAATATGCCGGTCGAGGACACGGAGCGCGAAGTGATGGAGGAACTGGGCGAAAGCCTAAACCAGATCATAACCTTTGCCAAGGAAAAGCACGACACTTCTCAGCTGGACGAGTCCAAGGCAAATTCTTAGGACCGCAATTTTAGTCACACATGAATTAGTTTTTAAGTTCAAAGCGCTCTTGACCTTTTCTTCTACTCTATTCTATTTTTGGCTTTCTAAAAGTTGACCTTAAAGTAAAGTGTACAATTTTAAAATAATCTAAACACAAAATGTATATACCATACATAGCAAATTTCAGACATAAGACGATTTTATTTTGAAGCGGCAATGGCTCGCGCTTTTAAACTTGAAATGATTGTGTTATAAACTTTTCCTTGAATTGGATGTAAATAATATAGACACCGAATAAAGTTTAATGTCCCTTAAACACTAATTAAAAGACGGGTAGTGTTTTGTAGCTTGTTTATTCACCAACAACTTCAGTTACATATTTGTATTTTGCATTTGCATTGTTTCAAATTTATATGATGGGCGAGTATATTAAACTCAACGCAATTTCGTTTGTTTTTCCGATATCGGTATCAGCTTAGTTAGCAATATCTCTATGAAATAAACATATGTCAAATGACTAGTGTATAGGTAATACATATTTTAGTTGAGTGTATAGATAGTTGGTATTTTAGTTTCGAATACAAATATATTTAGTATAGCTAGTGTAGTATATTCTACTTGGTCATCATTATTCTATATAAATAGTATATACGAATGTTTGTGTTCTGGTTTCTCCCGGTTCTCACCCTATAAACATGGCATGGCATGACATGAGTACACATACTTCCAAGGTTTGAGTAAAAATGTGATAATCGTTTAAGGACTATAGTATATTATTATAGTGTTATGCTAATAATGCCCTGCTATTCATATTTAATACTCTGCTTTATTTTGACTAATATGCTCGCGCTAAACTATAGGTTTTGTTTGCGGTCATTCGAATACGAACTTCTGACAGAGAGTATGTGTGTGCGGTTATCTTAGTTAGCAAATACATACAGTAAACGTTAAGAATATCGAGTTAAGAATAGTTTTGAATATTTTAATACTGTGCACAAAACGCATTGGTTAGCTGCTTTAGCATTGTTGTTTGTTTGACCCCATACCAGCTTTTTTTGGATTGTTAATTTCATAACACTTATGCAACATTTGAACATAGCTAGGCAACAATAACGACTTGGTTAGGAATAATATTATTGAGTATTGAGTATGCTGCACTATTCAGTTAGAAGCTATATTGTCTAATTCACACGTTTATATGGAATGCTAGGCCCCCGGAAGGGGGGCTGAAGCATAAACTTACGCAACAACTATATGAAAACCGAACAAAACCTTTTGCTAAATATCATATGTACTTCGGAGTTGCATACCCTGTACAATGTCTTTGTACTACATATGTTTGTGGCTATAATATGCAATTTTTCGAAGAGTCCCTTAGTTATAAAACGCGTGTTGCATGATTGAATTCGGCAATTCTTCAAAGCGTGAAAAGTCATAACGAACACAACGTAGAATCTCTCGTGTGCTATGAATGGATCTAGATTATTATTTGAGTAGTTAAATTTTCACAACAATGGAACAACGATGATAATCAGCAAGTATTTCAGCTATTCGTATATACAGTTTTTCAATATAACCTCATTGTATACCTGCGATTAACTACATTTTGTTGGCCTTCTCGTGCCTCTTTCGACCATTACAGAGTTATCTTCCTTTACAATACTTTTGAATAGGATTGTTTTGGGGCATACGCGTCCAAAATAGTGATTTTTATGACCCAATAAATAGGGAATTTGTGCTTTAAAGAGGATTTTACATGATGCATTCGATCACAACGCTAAAAGTCACTTGCAGCCATTCAAGTGCCTTGCGGAAATATCCTAACGATCCTAAGTTGATCGGGTTAAGTGGGGAACAAAGTCGGTAATACTTATGAGGAAAGGTCTTAAACTTTGGGTGGGAAGAGTAGAAACTGCAAGCAGTCATATTAGCTTTATTTAAAGATGGAAACACACTCAATTTAGCGACTTTATTCTCTACTGGGTAAGTTAAACCATAAACTGCAACAAAGTAATTATTTCAAAATTGTGAACACGTATGTTCCCCCATAAGTATTTTGTCTCTATGGATTGGTATTTCCATTCCGCGTACACCTGGTACCAAAAGCTAATCAATTATTCCCTTATTTGGTCAGATAACTTGTGTGTGTGCTATGTGGGCAACAATTTTACAAGATTTTCGATTATATATATATATATACTTTAGTTTAACTTTAACAACTTGAAATATGAAATTGATTTACTTAAGGAAGGTGGGTCTCCGTTTTGGAGTACTGCCCATTAATGCCGACCAATGGCTATGCCGTATTGCCAAAAAGTTTTAATGGATTTGAGGAGCGAACGATATGTCGGACAGAACCGAGAACCAAAGTTACCTGGGTTTTCGGTTCTAGACCTATGGAAAAAAATTCCCCTTTGGACTTAAAATATTTTCTAAACAAAAAAATCATTTTCTATGATTGGCACGCTGTTTTCAAACTCACAATCTCTCTTCGGCCTTACGTTTGTGGAAAGCCCAAAATTATCTGCTCCAAATGAAACGTATTTTGTGTGAGTTGCCGATGTAGGTCCCAAAAAACACTGTCAAAACTAATTCCCAGGCCTTCTTTTGTGACAGATCCATCGCGTCGCCAGGCGGCTGATGTCTTCCATGGAGACCCGTTCAAAATTCAATCGTACAACTTTCGCTATGCGGACAAACCCTTCTATCCGACCCAGAATTATCAAAGGCCTCCGACTGCGGCGCCACTTGTAAGAAAGCCCTCCTTCCAGACCTTCTACTATAATCCCAGGTTCAGCCAGGATCCCGAGTATATCCCCGCCACAAGGCGGGAAAACCGGAGACGTCCATTACTGCGGGATGCTAAGACTCCTGTGCCTGTGGCTCCGCAGACGAGACGTTCGCCTACTGCCACGGATTCCCCGCTCCTGAGGACCTGCTGTCAAAGCGGCGAGTACAAAGCCATGAGACGGGGTCGCAGCACAATGACCCTGGATAGGAGTAGCCTCCATGTCCCGCGATCCACTGGTGGTGCCTCCACCACCACCTTCTCCAGTGACTCCGATAATCAGCTGCAGAAAATCAGCATAAACATCCGCACTGTGGATCCACAGTCCGAAGTGGACAACAATGTGAGTATCAAGATCGAGGCGGATGCCTATCTGCTGAACAACACGGACAAGGTGATGGCCAGGTCGCCGCAGGAGCAGGAGCGGATTTCACCCAGGTCCTCGGGTTCCTTTGGCATCGACAAGCGACTGTCCAAGTTCAATGTGAGCGAGACCAAGCCAAGGACCAGTCCGGAATGGGAGTTCCGGCAGCGGGAGAAGGCGCTGGAAGAGGAGCGTCGAATGGAAAGGGAGCGGGATCGTCAGCGGTGGGAGGACCAAAGGTTGGAGCGCGAAAGGGAGCTCCAGGAGGAGCGGCAACGTGCCCGTCAGCGGGAGCGAGATCGTGAGCAGCTCCGCGTGCTGGAGCGCCTGCGGGATGAGGAGCGACTTCGGGAACTGGAGGTGGAGCGCGAGAGGCAGCGCCTGCGAGAGCTGGAGCGGGAAACCCAGCGGCACAGGGAATACGATCGGTTCTGTGCCCTCCAGGAGCAGGCGCGTCGTCAAAGGCTGGAGCAACTGCGTCGGGAGTCCGAAAATGTCCCACCACCGCCGGTTCCAATGACCTCACATTTATACACCGTCACCTCCGATGACCGGTTACCCGGAATGGCCTTTTGTGATCTATCCTCCAGAAGGCCAAAGACATCAACGAGGCATCTGCCCAGGCCAAAGATGGAAAGACGGAGAGCTCGGGTTAACCAGGATACAAGAAACTGTTCGATCCGCTACCCGATCGCTCACTCCGCCGCCCATCTTTAGCTCCCGTTCACCTACACCCCCTCTATTGGCCACCTCCCGCTCATCTACTCCGAATAGGAGAGAAAACCACCCCTCTAGCCGCAGTCCCACCCCCATTCGCAGTCCCACCATCACAAGAAATCTGGATCGCTGCAGTTCGGGGACTTCTAATGGCAATGTCCATGTCACGGTGACCACCAATGGAGGTCGGCGTTCGTCCAACTCCCGGGTGAGTGAGCCCAAGCAGCTGAATGCAAGCCATCCCCTCGTCACCAGTCTGAACAATATGCCCATAAGGATAACTACGTCAAGAACTTCGGATAGGGATCTAGCTTTCAGTTTGAACCATGTGAGGATGAGGGGATCATCACCAATGCCAAGAGAACGGAGCAGCTCTCAAGAAGATCAGGATGCGTGTCAGTTGAACATCAACGTTTATGCGGAGAAACTGCGATTGATGCGTATATAGGAAGGAAAAGTGGGGGATTGCATTAGTGATTTCTGGGATAGATCATCTCTAGCATACAGATTATCATCTGCTCCAGAAGTCACTCATGTATTCCCTTTACTTCGCTTTAATATATCATTTTTTAACAAAATCCGAAAATAACAATCCAAATTAAAAAGTAAACCATGGAGTTTTCTGTATAATCTTCGCTCCTCAGGATTTCCCCATTAAATCAATGCAATTGCGGGCGTCTGCTCATTGGAACAGCAATTAAACCTTCCTTGCTGGGAGTAGAGTCTTCCAGGGAAAGACTCTTACAAGCTCATTAAGCTCTTCGTACAGTCACATCTGCTGTTTTCCGATGCGCCAATTGTACTTCCAAAAAAATTAAGATAGTTTCCAAACCTTTGGCCACTAAATTGCCTCCAATATGTAGTAGGGTTCTTAGGATCCTCACTATTTTTCTCTTCCTCACTTACCCGTCTCATCGAACATCTGGCTCATCGTAGAGCCCTATTTTCACTCAACCTTCTTGTTTCTCTATAGTATTTTCTTGAGATACTTTTGTGTGCTTGACTTTAACGTGTGCTAAACTTTTGGGGGAGGTGATTTCTTGATATGATCAATGGGTTATATATATAAATACTATAGTGCAACTTGTGTAAAACATTGAACAAGAATAACGATTTCGTTTGGAAATTCATATGATATTTCTGATATTGTTGGTTGTGGTTATGGTTTCTTTCTGCCTCTCTGATCTTCCTTTTTTTTAGATTTTATTACCCGTTTTTTTTTTTGATTTTTGGTTGCACTTTTGGCAACATTGCTTTATAGTTAGATCGTTTGCTTATTCGTCTTCATCGTAGTTCTGATAGGTGACATAACGTACCTGAGCCCGATCACGTCCATAGATCAAAGACTGGAATAACAAGATAATGCGGAAAAAATATGGGTTAGACGGGGGTTTTTTTCTATAGCTTAGATACAACATGCAAAATGAAACTCAGGCGGTGCTTTAAATAAAAACTAATAATTTTATTACAAACAAATTAAGCAGAACTTAGGGCTAAAACAATGAGAATGACTATTAATACGAAAAATTAACAACTAAATGCCGACAAAAAGCTAAACTCATAATTTATTAGCGGCTCAAAGCCTCTCGCTTTCGTAGGCCTCATTCGTCCTGCCCGCCTCGGCATCCGCATCGGGAATAGAGGTGCCATGCATGATGGCTGGGCAGGATGCGGTCAGCTGGGGGATTCCAGGGGATTCCCCTCCAGCGGCTGCAGCAGCGGCGGCGGCAGCCTCAGCCGCCTCCCTGGCCATACGTACCTTCTTCTCGTCGCTCGTCGGCGGATTCTTGAGCAGCGTCAGCAGCGGGGCGTACATAAAGCAGAGGATGGCAATGCCGAACAGCATCCACTCGAATCCGATGCTCTTCACCAGCGATCCGGAGAGTGCGGGACCCACAGCGAAGCCCACGCAAAAGGCGACGTCACCCAGGGCGTAAACACTGCCGTACACAGCGGAATGCCGGATGTCCACCAAATAGCCCAGCTCCGGCATCATCGAGGAGTCCACCATGCCAATGGCGAAGCCCAGGCCGGCATTGGGAATAATCAGGTGGGTGATCGAGGTGGCCATGGGTATCTGCAAGAGGCAAGAAATATATCTGATGTTTTCTAAAGCAAGAGAATAAAACGCGAATTCTTGAGATATTTTTAAAAATTGTAGAACTACGATTTTACAATCACTTAAGTTCAGTTTAATTTTCAGAGTCACTAATTTTGTATATACCCGAATTCTTTGGGCTTTTTACCAATTATTTGTAAATTTATTAAATAGAAAATATTTAATAAAATATTTAGAAATGCCTTAAATACATTTTCATTTTTATTATTAATAAGTATTACTAGAACTATTTTTTCACTTACGAAAATCAAGCACCCTCCGATGATGATCAGGCCCAAGCAGGCGGCGAACCAACGTCCAATTTTGTGTCCCAGCGGTCCGAAGAGATTCGTGCCAATCAGGTAACTAATGGAGGCGGGCAAGAATGCCACGCCCTGCTCCCAGCGGGTGGCGCCCATGTTGTCCACCATCCAGAGCGGCAACGAGGGCTCCAGCATGGCAATTCCCATGTTGGCAAAAGTGATGGCACCGGCGGCAATCAGGATGTAGGGATCGCTGATGAGGCTCTTCAGCGAGGGCGGTTCCGTTTCGGCCTTCTGAATCGAGGGTTGCAGCATGAACAACTGCAGCAGACCGTCGCCCAAAGCCAGAGCAGCCAGAATCAAGAATGGAGCCGACTTGCCCACGAACTCGTACATCACCCCGCCAAACGGAGGACCTATGAGGACACCCAAGGCCAGGCCACCCAGCGCTATACCCATGGCATTTCCACGCTCCTTGTCGTCCGTGAACCGATCCGCCAGCATTCCCATTCCGGAAACCGACGAGCAAGAGGATCCAATGCCCTGCAGAGCCCTCGCCACGAAGAGAACCAGATAGGATCGTCCAAAAGCGAAAACTAAAAATAATATAATAATTTAAAGCTAATGCTGGGGTGGAATACTCTTGAAGAAACTTACTGATGGTCGAGAGAAACATTATCACGAAGCCCGCGAACATGGGGATGCTGTAGCCAATGCTGTTCAAGGATAGATATTTTATTGAAAATTAATTTTAAATTTTTTAATATAAACGAGGCACCTGATGTTTATTTCTTAAATATCCAAATCTTTTCAAAGAATATTTAATTTTAGGTACATCCATAGATGTAATTATTTTTATATACCCATTTATTTATGGAAGCTTCTTTCGACACTTTAACTTACCGGTGAGTCAGGGGTCCCACAATTGGGTTAACCAGCAGCTGGACGAATGCCTTGGAGGCGAACAGGAGTCCCACCTCGACCGTCTCGCCCACCAGCTCGTTGTGGCGCTCCTCCAGCTCCCGGTAGTAGGTCTCGTTTTCTGTGGATTTTCAAGGACTTGGGCTGCAGACTGGTGGCCAATTAGCGCCTCCAACGAACACACTTACCCTCCGGACTAATCGTGGAGATCTCGAGCGGAGCCGCCTCGCTGCCATCCTTGTTGCAAGGACACGGCGTCGGTGGCGGTGGAATGTTCGACGTTAGCGGTGTGCGTGGAAAGCTGTCGAGCGGCGCATCCGGATGTCGTATGTCGTACAGGAACTCGGGTATGATGGGCACTAAACGGGGTGAAATGGAGGAGGCTCTCATAATTTGATTGTAACAAAAAGCGTTTGCTCGCAATTAACCTAAACGCTCGGGGGCAATTTTCACCAGGCCGTCGGGCTAATAATTGCGTTTTCCAGGCCCCAGAAAGTTTTGTAATTGCCTTGCCGCTGGCAGAGATTGCCCCCTTCTCTTCCTTAGTTCTAATTGAGTTGCAACCGAAAAGAGGGGAGGTTGGGTGGAAAAATTACGCATACGCCACGTTTACAGCGATGCTTTTAATGGACTCTCCGATGTCTAGCATAAAGCCGCATGCAACTTGGCCGGGCAAATTCAATTTGTTTATTGCATGCTTCGACTCTGTTTATATTTATTATCAACACTTGGGCAACTCGAGAACTCCGGACCACTGTAATTGCATTTCCTGCCAAAGTGCTGGGTCAAAGGGGGGCTTGAACTTTCAATTGAGTGAGTGCCGAGCGTAGTTTGAAGTATTGTTGGGGTAATTTGTTTGCTTGTGAAGCCAGTTATTCGTGGTTATCCTACTGACAGCCCATAACCATATATGTATGGTCTACGTTGTGTGGAAAGAGGTAAGGTTTTAATGAGGGCCATTCATGCTCGATGGGGTTAGGGCTAGTTGCACAGATAGTCTAACTTCAAGTTCTCGTATTAGCCCGTGCCGCCTCGTGCCAAAGTGAAAGTGGAAGTCTTCTTGCCTGACCTGAAATCCCATCCAACTGTCACATATGTCGGCCATGGGTGGTCCAACATGCCATTTCGCCCGCCCAAATGACATGCAACCGGAAATGTATGCAAATTCGGCAACATCTACCTAATTGGGGTTAACCACTTGGCGATTAAAGAGCAAATTTAATGCCGCAACTAAAAATGTTGCCTAGTAATTCCCAGCCCGACAGCCCCAACAACTCATTAAACTGTCTCCCGAGTCTCTGACATGAAAATGATAATTCAGAAAAAGCACGTGCAGCCGGGGTCAGGAGGTGGGTGGCGTAGGATGTTACGGAGGGTTAGGAGATGGATGTTTGGGCTGTTTTGGGCTGTCGTTGGGGCGCCACAGGATTGCGATAGAGGGGCAGCGGAAGTCACTCAGTCGCCTCGGTTGCATTTCGCGTGTCGAAGACACTTAAACCGCAATGCCAAAAGGAAGGCGACTCGGGCAGCTAGACAAATAAACAGTGAATATCGCTGATTCAGGGCTGTAGTATCAGTAGTGATAGACCGACGGGATTTCTGTGCTTTTGATGTCATGAAAATATTTAAAAGACAGCAATTTTAGAGCTAGGAGTTAGTGAGGAGCTAGGAGTTTTAAGAACTTGTAACACTTCTTTAAATAATCTGTATAATATTTTTCTTGACATATAGTTTTACCTATAGAAGTGGAGATCTTGGCGAATAAATGAAATGAAGACTAACAAATGAAAAGTCTTCTTTGTGACTATACCTAATTAACAATGTTTTTAACAATAGTTAATATTTTTTAACAAAAGTATTGGGAATAATCGCCTAATATATGGGATTATCTGATATTTTTAAGGATTTTTTTTTTTAATTCCCAATTTTTGGGTAATTACTGTAAAATTTCATGTCATTTTGATTTTTGATTAAAAACTGTAATTGTGGGGAATGAGCTTTTTTTTAACCATCTCTAAGTCTCTAAAATAGTCTATAACTTAAGCTCCGGTGACATTTTCTTTGCCGCAGCCCTGCGGCGTCCGCAGGTCACCCAGATACATCGATTCGACATGCCGGGGCGACAGTGGCGTCGTCGTCAAGCCAAACAGAAGCGGCAGTGAGGCGGCAACTGGCAAAGCAACCAGTCATCCGCCGGCGACGAGGAAGAGGACAACTCAGCACCCGAACCAGGACCCAAAACGCTGGAATACGCTTTTGTTTATCCGATTAATATGCACAGGATTTAATTAGCCATAGAAGCCTTAGGAGGAGGGGGAGAAAATGCGACCCATTTGGGAGTCGGCCAGCAGGCCGCTGTTTGTGCGCTCCGTGTGGAAGGAGTCGATCGGGAGACGCCACTTCATCCTCGACTACGAGCCGCGACAGAGGCAGCGCTGGAAACGCCAGAAGACCAGGCTGAGGGGTAAGTAGTGCTCAAGGACTCAGCTGCTGGGAAATCAGGTTCCTTAGTCAATTATCCCATGATTGTTTATTGTATCTGTGATATATTTGATAAAGAGCTAAGATGGTAAGCTCTATTGAAGCATAAAAACTTTTTAGATCTATACCCAAAAAAACATCAATATGAAACGTAGATCGATTTTACATTATTTAAGATCAATTTTAATTTGATATGCGACCAGGAAAATTTGAATTGGTGAAATACGAAATGGGTTTGTCTTGACCTGAAATTTAGATGGCCATATCGATTTTACGGGAACATGTTTTTTTTTGTGTGTACCATAGTCGGAAGATAAAATAAAGATCTTAAGTTGTAGGCCAAAAGATCAATAAGTTTCCTCAACCAGTAAATCAATAGTATCAAAACCAAATAATTTTAAGTATACTAAGACTTAAAAAATAGTAATCCGAACCATTTTAATTAAAGGCAACTACCAGCAGACGCAATCCTGCGAGATCTTCGAGCAGTCCCCCGAGGAGAGTGTGGAGTACCTGGACGAATACCTCTTGCTGGACGCCACCAAGCTGACGCTGCAGCAGCAACAGTCGCTGCCCGCTTTGGGTGGGCGGCCTGGCCCCGCCCCCTCGACGGGTGGAGGTCAGCGGGGAGAGCAGCGACACAACAGTCGCCAGTCGAAGCGCCGAGCATGGCTGTTGAGTCGTGGACGGACCTATAATCTGGACCATCACATGGACCAACAGTCGCGGCGCAGTTCTCTGCAGGATGCAGGCAGCACGCTGGCCACGACGTCCAACAATCCCGAGGAGCGTCTGGCCGAAAGGGTGCTCCATTGGCTGGACCTGGCCGGCCGCACGGATATCGTAAAGGAAAAGGTAGCCACTCCACCGGCCAGCAGTAGTGCCCAGTTGGCCAGATCCGCCCAGAGGATGCAGCGCAACCACCATCGCAGCATGAGTCTCAAGCGAGTGGCGGTGGCGGCAGCGAATCACCAGAGATCGGTGGCCAGGAAGCCAAGTGCCAAGCCGCCACCCGCCGTCCAGCAGCAGGTCACCAACTCCTCCTCCGCCTCCAATGCCAATGCCAAGCCCATAACCATCATCTTCAACAAGGAGGGCGTGCCCGTGCGCCTCAATAGACCCGCTCGCAACATCGATCTCTGCACCCTGAGCAGCAGTGCCAGCACCACCAGAAGATTGGCGGGTCAGCTGGCCTCGGCCCGGCTGTACAGTGGAGCCACTGCATCCCCGTTGCCGGAGGACAGCCGGACGCCGCCGCTCAGTGGCCGGGGAGTTGGGACCTCGGCAGCCTCCGATAGCCGGAAGCAGCTGCACATCTTTATGCCCAGTCTGCCCAAGAAGGGTCTGTTGACGGTGGGCTCCACGGCGGGCAGCGGCATCGGAGGTTCTGGCGAGGATGCCCTGAGCACCAGCTTCAGTGAGCTGTGCCAGTTGTAGTCAGCCTCGGTCTAGTAATTAAATTCAGGTTCAAAGGGTGAACATTGGAATACCTAGGATGGAACTTTATCCAATCCAATTTTTAATGTAGTTTAGTTAAAAATAGTTTTAGTTGTTCAGTTAAAAATAATTACTTGGAGTTTATAATTGTGGATAATTAAAGTATTTTTCAAGATCGTTTGTTTTTAGATTTTTTCTGCAACTTCAAAGTATTCGTTATTACTTTTGTTAAACTGCGGCCTAAACTACCATGAAGATTATTCAAATTAGTTGACCTTTCCATCTTTCTTACCATCAAGTTCATTGACATTCACGTGGTTAATGCGGTTAATTTGGAAAACTATTTCTCATCCTTTTCCTTGCCCAAAAGAAGAACTTTTTTCGTTTGTCTTGAAAGACAACCAGCGCTTTATTTGTAAGTTCCAAAAAAAAACAAACCACTAGAGAACCAAAACTTTGAAAGGTGAAATTAGTCAAGACCAACATATTTTCAGTCTTGTTAATAAGCCAAAAACACATACAAGTAAACCAAAATAAATAAACAATTATCTTGACACTCATTGAACTTTGGATACTCTTTAAAATTTTAATTGTATTTGAGAAATAAATGTCAGAACACTTAAAGAATAAAACAAAAATCCATAAAGCCTGGATAAAACTAAAAATTGTATTGCGGTTGAAAAATTAGATACCTAATGATTTTCTAAAAGACATTCACCTCGAAGAAACAAATGTGACTTTTGATTGTAAGGGTATTTATTGTGCTTCGAAGGACTGCTTATTAATATCGCACAATCTTTTCTTGGTTTTATTGATTTTCGTTTTTGTTCCGTTGCCATTGAAAGTTTCTTTTGTTTGTTTCTTTTTATCGAATTTGGTAAGTTTATTTTTGGATTACCCCGAAAAGTCGGCGGCGTGTGCCACGCCCATTTTCTTTTGTTTTGATTTCTGGTCTGACTTCTTCATTGTTGATTTTTGCGTTTTTTATTTGCAACTGGGGGTGGACGACTTGGGGGGTTCCCAAGTGAAAGGAGCGTAATCAATGTAATTGTGGAAATATTGCATGTTTAACAATGGAATAAAGTTAAAGTTAAAGTTTTGCCCTAATGAATGTGGCAATTTTGCGCAGAATGGAGAAATTCCAAGTTTGAGAATGGAGACGGTCATTTAAGTAAGTAAAGCGGAGTAAATAAATTATATTTCCTTAAAAGACTTTATATAGTTAAGAATAAGTTAGAGGATATGGAATTATGAACTATACACTTTTAATAAAAGGGTCAACGGAAGAGGTAAAAAATATGAATATGATTTTTATAAACTGTTGAGGGATATGTTCCCCAAGATCTATATGTTGCTAACTATTTTATGGGACTTACGACATACAAACCGTAAGCGGTCGTAAACTAATTATGGACATTACATATCCATCAGTCTAATGGGGCAACAACTGTCAACCGTTGCGAAGGAGATTCCTTGGATATCCGTCAAGCGTCATGCAAGCAACACCCAAATCTAAGCTATCCACCTGCCACACGTGGCAAGTTGTCGTTGTCGTCGTCATCGTATTATTTTATGACTGACGCGTCGGAATTTAGATTCGATTTCAATATCACCAACAATACACAGGTACAAAAAAGTAGGGCCCAATGATCCATTCAAAAGTAATCTTTATAAAGATAAATGTATAATCCTGATCTAAAGAATTCGCGTTTTTACTTACAGAAAGCCTTTACATAAAAATGATGGTTAAAAAATATAAAATCATATTTTTGAATTTTGTTTCTTGTGCATTCTGAAGATACACCGCAATAGATCTAGATGGTGGGGGATAAGCGCAAGGCTCAATGAGTCATTGCGTCTGCCATGACAGCGAAACGACACCGAAAAAGCCGCACGATTGTGACCTTTGTCGAAATGGGTCTGGTTGGGTGGTAGCCACGGTCTACGGTCTACGTTCTACGGTCTACCGCCACCCGACTCCGAATTCGAATCCCACAGCCAACGGAAAACGGGGGAAAAACTTTCTGACTTCAAGGCAAGCCAAAAGACAAAAGGGGGAGCAATTACTTTTGGAGGCAAAAACTTTGGGCCGCCTGACGTTTGACTTTTCCCCCGGATTTTTCGCCCAGCGAAAGAAAATGCGCAACAATACTGGGTGTATTTGGATTGCATACATAACAGGCCTAAACGGCCTTATATAGCCCTATAGACAAGCCATTCCGCCTGCCGTGACTTATTCGCGTTTCTGCAGCGGACGCGGCAAGTTCTCCCGGCGGTTGGCGTACATCTTTTCTCTGCCTGTTAGTCAGCTAACGAGCAAAGTTTTCCACGGTGCACACTAATTTTCCGGCCATTAGTGGCATGTCCACCGACGAGGATTCCCTGGGCAGTCCCCTCAAGCCGGCCACGCCCACTCCCGGCGAACGAGAACGAGAACGGGAGCGTCCCAGGGGCGGAAGATCGGGTGCCGCGGATCTGCTGCGCCATCAGCAGAGCTTCGAGGCCCGCTACAGCGGGATTATCCAGAAGCAAATCTGGGAGACGAGCATCAACAAGGACGTGCTGGAGCGCCAGTTGACTGCCTATTTCCCCTTCTCGCGCAGCGCCTCGCTCTCCAAGGATGGATCCGGTGGCATCGATCAGCTCCTGCCGGTTGCAACCGGCGGAAGTGGCCTGAAGACCCGATCCCTGGCCACCACGCCCACCCGTCGGCCAGGCGTCTGTCTGGAGAAGCTGGAGACGGTGGACGTGGCCTCCCTCGAACAGCAGAGTCCGGGAAAATAGCATCGAAATCCCCGGGATTAGGCTAGCACACTCTTTGTGATGTCCGTAAGGTTGAAAGGCAATTTATGACATTTTTAGACTAAGTTAGGATAGGTTAGATATTATTATATTATAGCAAGACCCCGAATTTTAAAAAGATACAATCAAAATGTTTAATCTATTCGCTATTTATATATCATTAGTCTACCAAAATTTTATAAGGTGGAATTTAAAATATTTGTTTGTTTTTGTCCTAATACTTAAAGCTTTATAATAATAAAATCATTCAATAAAGAAAATCAAAATCCGGGGCTTCTAAAAATAAATTTTCAACATAGCTTTAATAAGTATTACTAACATGTAAATCAAGCTATTTCTCTGAAATCTACTATTTACTTAGCACCCCAAGATTTGTCTACAGCACTAAAACAATCCATTTGCATAGTTCAACCCAATGCCAATGCAAAATACTCGCTTTATTGGCTAAGGATATGAACGTATTCCCGGATCAAAGGGAACCCTATTTAAGCTACTATTATTCAATCTTCTTCAATAAAACAAAAGCTTATTGCATATTCAATTTGGTATCGAGTCAAGCGGATAAGGCCAGGGGCCCATATAAATCTCCACAGGCTCCCGGGTGTAAATCTAATTTATGTGGATATTATGCGAGTGAAATAAGGCAGGGGGAGATGTGAGAAAAACTGGGGGTGCGAGGTCAGAGATCAAATGTAATAATCAAATGTATTTGCAGCAGTTTTCGCTTCAGCACCTTGAGCGCGAAGAGAGAAAGCACTTAAGTGGAAATGCCGCCAGTCAAACGCTAAAAGCCCAGCCGTTTCCCTTTCCACTATCCTGTCATCAGAAGGGAAACTTCCTCCATGGAGCTAATAGTTTTTCCACTTTTCCTTTGACTTTCACTTCCTTTCGCTCTCAACAAGTTGCTCGAGTGGCTCGGCTATTTCCTTTGGTTTTTGCCCAACTTGTTGATTTAAATTCATGAACGTTTGGCACAAAGAAAAATCTCCGCTTCTCTTTTTTTCGGCTGTTTTTATTTCCTTCGTCCGGCTGTATTTGTCAGGCTGGAGGACCGGAGGATTCCCACTCAATGTCCATGTGTTTGGCCAGACACTTGACATAAGCACTTGGCCTGGATGGACACCTCCACCTCCTCCACTAAAGAGAGTTTTCCCTGGTGGGGTTTTAGTGTCAACTGCAGGAGGGTCTTCCAGTGCGTGTCTATTTAATTGACTGTCGACGGTTCGCCACTTGGAGCTGCCCAACTCAGTCTGGTCCATTGGCCATCGATGCTTGTTAATGACTAAGCAGGGCCCTTCAGCATTGATTAGTTGTTGGCTGGTATTTGATTTAATTGCCTGATTTTCCACAGAAATTAAGGGTGCACTAAGCTCTCATCGAGCGATCGGAGAAATCATGAATATTGCCTGACGAAATCTCTGCCTTTCGTTTTGTTAGATTAATTAGTTCTTGCTTGGTACTTGATTTGGTTGAACTATAGTTAAGCTCATTAAATTAAGGCGCCATTACGTTAGGATTAACTGAAAGAAATACTGTATTTTCCAATAGCTAACCTTGAATGGTAGATCTAGAAAAAATATCGACAGTTGGCAATTTCTCGATATTTAATTTGTGTCTTCCCTTCAAAACTTCGAAATTACTATCAAATTTATTGAATATATCGCCCATTTTCGAGATCTTTTGTATGTATATGTATAAATATTTTTGAGAAAATAAATATAAATTAATAAATATCTTTTAATTTATTCCTTTCACTTCACCCCAAAAACGTAAGACACCTTCCTTTGAACCAGTGTAAGATCTCAGCAAAGGCTCTAAGAACCCATGTTAATCCCAAAAAAAAAGGAATTGATGAACTGACAAAGACCATTCACATCGACAGGAAGGCGTTCATTAGCTTAAGTGCCGCACTGTGGTAATTTTATGGCACCACTCTCGCCACTCTCTAAGGAAATGGACAATTTCCAGGCGATTGACTGGCAGGGATAACCAGCCCCGGGAGATAAATGCTCATGAAATGCTAATGGCCACAGGGGAAAAAGATTTATGCGGGGATATAATACCTGGTAAGATGGCAAACACTCACCCACTGTGGTCAGCAGCATGTTGTCCAGGAGCAGGGCTATGGCCACGATGACGAGGACCAGGCGGTTGGAGCCCCGCCAGCTGACCATCCAGGACTTGGCGGCGGACCAGGACCCGGCAGCGCGTGGATCCTCCTCGCGGTACTGATCCGCTGGCGGCGGAGCCTGTCGTCCTGCGTAGGACTGCGACTGGTAGGTGGGCGGAGGCGGAGCCGGCGGCTCCTTGCCGACGCCCATAATGCCGCAGTCCTGGTCCATGTTGCCATTCTGCTGATTGCTGTCCAACTGCTGCTTGAAGGGATTCTTGCTGGGTGTGTTGCTGACGGGCTGCTGCTGCTGCTGCGGCTGCTGGCTATTCGTGGAGTTTATGGTGAAGGAGGTGGTCTCGCTAATCTCCGACTGCTTCTGGGGGGCTGTGCTCTGCGTGTGTTTTCTTGGTCCACCATTTCCCGCATCGGTCGATGATTGCATTGCGTCGCTAGCCGCTGGTTGCTACGAAAGGCAGTAAGCCGATTGTCTTTTTAAAATGTAATCAAATCAAGAGTAAGCAGCTTTCCCGCATTTATTCCCATTCCCCATTCTCATTCCCATTTCAAATCAAAATCCCACGCTCGCTTTATGCCCCAATGATTTTTGCTAATTAAAAGTAAATTACAAGTCTTGGGCTAGGGAATTAAAAAGTATCTTTCACACGGCTACACGGCTCTAATTGAATCATACGCAATTTAAATATTTATTTAATTGCCTGCCACCCCAGACTAACACCAAACAAACGGGGCGTATGCGCAACATTTGTCATTAGAACACTTTCTGTTGCCTATCGCAGGGCGCAAATTGAATTTTCCCCCATAATTCGGTTTGAAAGACTCGACTCACAGAAAGGAGCCCAAACGCAAGGCTTCTTTAAGTTTTCGGTTGCACAATTGAATTAGCCCACTGCTTTGGCTATTAGCAAAAAGGTCTCGTAATTGAAGGCAAAGATGAATCAAGTCTCCCGCCAAAAGTCTTTGCATAATGCCTTCAATTTATTTTGCAATTGAGCCAACAATTGATGCCTGTCCCGGCGGACAATTGATTGTTTATGACGTCTCCGCAGAGACAAAGTGTTTGTCATTGAATGACAAATGAAAAGTATCTGATAAATGGAAGAGGAAGCTGCTGAAAATTCATACTACTGCAACACGTTTGTGGGCGTGACCGACAACAGAGAATTTTGTCATTCTAAGTGATTAAATCAGCTAGAATTAACTGCTGTTGCATTAGTTATAGTGCTATACCAAAATGTCATCATTTTAATTAGTATCTACATTTGTTTAGCAGTTTCACAATTAATTTTACTACAAATGTGAATGAGAAAATTGTTGGATGCAAAGGCTAACTAACTAGCTACAAACTAATAAAAGTTTTAAAACCGTATTATGTATGAATTATGGCCTATCATATCATAATAATTGTATTGTGACTAGATTTCCAATAACTTGTTAAAATATAAATTACTACGTTTAAAATGTTTATTCTGGATCTATTAGAAGTCATAGCTATCTTGGATAATATTGTTTATATAATTTAATCTCGTAGATTTAGTTTCCCTTCAGTAAAACGCGCTAGTTATTTTATTATATTTAAAAAATTAAAGAATTTACCTGACAGCTTTCCCTTTCTGAAGTACAATAGATCTAAGGATTTTCTTCTCCACAAACTGCACAATACTCTTGCCTCTGGAATATCACTTGCACTAATGAACCTGAATTGCCACCAGACCTCGAGTATTTATAGATCTCTGCTTTTACGACCGATATTTATGTGGCTTACGATCGCTTAAAGCCGCCAGTTACGCGCACAGAAATCTCAATTAGCCGCGGACTCTGTCCCAGTGAATCAGAAGTCAAGGCTTTTCGATTCGCATTCAGGAAGTGCTGATGCTATCACCTAGATTGCACTTTCTTTTTCACAACGAGTTCGCTTTTAAGACCTTTTTGGGGTGGATCGTTCATTCCGCGGATTCTACCGACGAGTCGGCGCTCTGAGCTCGAACTAAAACCTTTAGCGTGCCGCCTGAGGCTTATTAAACGAATTAATTTTTGCACAAGTGAACAAGACTTGCTTAGTTAGTATACAAAGTGTGCGCCGCAAAGAGAACTCAGACATCTTTGCATTTCAAATGAATGCACAATGAAAAGTGTGTAAAATACATTTTAATAAATATTAATTATCAATTGCCATGCAATTTCGGATTATGGACGTGGGAAAATCGAATTCAAACAAAAGCTTGAGTTTTTTATTTGAAATTATGCTAATGCGTTGAGTTTTCAAGTTTAACTATTCAGAGCCTAAAGTCATCCCTTTTTATTTCGAATTGATTAGAACCGCATTTAATTCAATTGCATTTCGAAAACAATTCTAAAATGCATTAGTATCGCGTGTAATATGCTAATTAATTATTAATACTGGAAGCACAATTGTAAGCAAGGGGGAAGTTTTAATACTCTATTAAAAAATTATTTTAAAAATGCAATTTAATTTCTAATATTTGTTTAACAGTCTTAAAAATCTATATTTAAAATACAAGAAACATTTTTTTTAAAGATTCCGTTTTCAGTTCAAATTTTACGTTTTCAAAAAATAAGTAAATAAATAAAAATGTTCAGCTTCGAGATAGAGTATAGAAAATGCCTGGTTAAATTAAGATAAAGCTGCATGTGCGATGCGATGTGACGAATGCGATTGTTTAATTCATTATTTATGTTCCCTCAGATATTTATTTTGATTACTGTTTGTCGTTGCTTTTAGTTAAATTGTTGTTGCTGCCGGAGCTTGTGTTAATTGCACAAGATTTTTCAACTGGCGACGGGCAAAAATGTAGCGGCTTGTTGCCTTTTCCAGCCACTTCTAAGCATCGACACGCAACTTTATTTAAATTGTGCTCATTTTTCAGATTTTTATTAATTAAAACAAAGCTCAGGCCCGAGCTTAAGCATTGG